ATATAGATTCAGAAACAAAATTCCAGTATCTGATACAGGCTATGAAAAATAACAGTAAGGCGAAAAGTTTTGTCGAAAGTTACCCACCAACAAAAGAAAATTACAATATAGCAGTGAAGACACTAAAAGACCGATTTGCAAAAGAAGATATATTAATTGAAATCTATGTCTGAGAACTACTTTTACTCTTTAGTACAGGGTGTCCGGTGGCAGAATTAGGATTTGAATTTCGAATATCTCCGTAACCGTTGAGCGGAGGAGCGGGGAGGGGGCCGCGTTGGCTTCGTCATCCGTGCGGGTTATTTATTCGCGATGTCGCAGTGGACAGGTGAACAACGTGCTTTCGCAATCGAAGCGTATTTCAAAGCCAATGATTCATGTGCAATTGCTCGTCGAAGATTTTGTTCACGGTACAATATTCGACGGTTACTAGACGCCCCAAGTGAAGATTTTATTCGATTATGGGTGCGAAGGTTCCGGGCAACAAGTTCAGCAGAAAACAACTCACGACCGGGGCCCAGCCGGACGTCGAGAACAAATGAAAACATTGAATTCGTCGCGTCCAGTTTGCGGGATAATCCGCGTCAGTCAGTTCGCAAGAGAGCGGCTGCCTTGGGGCTTCCAAAAACTATAGTGCACGAGATATTGAAGAAGGATCTTAAATTTCACCCATTTAAAATTCAAATTGTGCAAGCGCTTAAGCCTAATGATTACAATATGCGTAAAAACTTCTGTGAGACAATGTTGGAGCGATTTCGCACGGTGAACACTATTGTTTGGAGTGATGAAGCCCATTTTCATTTAAATGGAAGTGTAAATAAGCAGAATTGTCGTTATTGGTCCCTAAACGACAAAATCCCCGCTAAAACATCAACAGCCACTTCACAGTCCCAAAGTGACGGTTTGGTGTGCATTATCAAGCAGGGGGATAATTGAGCCGTATTTTTTTGAAAATCATCAAGAGCAAGCAATATCTGTAGACGGTGTTGCTTATAGGCGAATGCTTAATGATTATTTTGTTCCAAAATTGAGAGAACATCCTTTTTTCACTTCGCAGACATGGTTTCGGCAAGATGGCGCCACGCCTCACACTGCTAGGGATACCATAGCGCTACTTCGTGATTTCTTCCCTAACAAACTGATAAGCCGTTTCGGTGACATCCTCTGGCCACCCAGATCCCCGGATCTTACACCAATGGATTTTTTTCTGTGGGGGTATCTCAAAAGTAAAGTCTATGAAACAAGCCCGGCGACTATCTCAGCATTAAAAGAAAATATCGTTCGCGAAGTTCATGGCATCTCGGCGGCACTTCTCCAGCGAGTGGCAAGAAATACTGAAGCCAGATTCCAAGAATGTGTCCGACGTCACGGTCAACATTTAGACGACATAATCTTTAAGATATAAAACCCGCATTTGTCTTCTTTATAATGATTAAAAATATAAATGTATATCTTTCGTAGTTTTTTTTGTTATATACATTTTAAATCCTAATTCTGCCACCGGACACCCTGTACAAAAAATTCTGTATCAATTGATTGTCTCTATGACAAAATTGTAGCTAACTTACAAATTTTAGAATCCTTAGGCATATCAAAAGATAAATATGAATGTATTCTTTTACCTATGATAGAGTCTGCTCTTCCTGAAAATCTCTTGTTAGCATGGGGTAGGGTTCCAAATAAAGTGGGGGAATCTAGGCTCAGTAATTTACTGCACTACTTAAAAACTGAAGTTAAGAGAGTAGGGCAGAGAGTAGGGTAATTATAGCCAAAACATTTTTTAATGATTCATCTGAAGTGGTTCCAACAGCAGGTTGTTTGGTGGCAGTAAGTAAGCAGGCAAAGGAGAAGAGTGAAGAGAGATATCCTGCAAAAGAAGGTAAAGAACAATGTTATTTTTGTAATAAATTACATAGTACGTTAGAATGTAGTAAAAGTAATACCTTAAATTTAACAGAAAAGAAAGATGCAATTAAACAAAAGGGAGAGTGCTATATATGTTTAAAAAGGGGACACCTTTCCAAGAATTGTAAAGCATTTATAAAGTGTATGTATTGTAGTAAGCGACATCTACTTGTCTTATGTCCAATTATACATGAACAGTTATATAAATGTAAATCAGAGGCAAAGAAGAATAAGAAGAATGTTAGGATTCCTGTAACCTCTGTATCCGCTGCTGGAATGGATGCTGTGAGAGATAACTCTAGAAATTTTGTGTTGGCCATAAAAACATTTGCGTTATTTGGCAAATCAAATATAATTCCGATTTTATATCTATTGATGATTTTCGTAAATGTTGTACACCAGTGATACAATAATTTCATATTGCTTGTGATAGAGCCAATCGATTTTTTTCTGTAATCGATTGATCTCTTTTATCATATGACAGAAAAAAGACAAATTCGCTCTTATGCGCATTATAAGTTTTATACTTATCAGCCTCTTCTAAATAAAAATCAGAATCAGAGGAGTCGGAAGTACTCCGTGTCTCTTCAGGTACACTCTCATCCATGTGCTTTTTACGTTTCTTGATTATATTTACATTTTATATACAAACGACCAGTAACAAAATTAAATGACAACAAATGTGTATTTAAAATGGAAACTAAAATATAAGCGAAATTATCAAAATAAAGTTTTAAAAAAGGCGCCTTTCACTATCAAAGTTCCTCTCAGTCTGTAACATTAATTATTTTATATCATCATATCATAAACTAATTATGTTTTTTTTTAATTCCTCAATAGACAGTCAAATATGTATTATAAAGGTATCAGTTCTAATAAACATTCTATTTAGTTCAAACCTTAGTTATAAGAATGACAGTACAGAAAGCCTCATATGATAATAAATCTATCATATGAGGATACCGAAAATTTATTGTCTATTCTAAAATAAACAAATATATAAAAAGCTACCCAAAACTTCATCACATACAGAGGGGCTTCATTCCCATGTTCATGGATACATATAGTATTGTTTGTTATCATATACTCCACACTTCTAACTAAAAATTGTATGAATTTACTTCACAAAACAGATATTATGGACTGTAAGGTACCTAAAAAGGTAGGTCAAAACCTGTTCTACAGATATCCTGTCTCTCAAAAGGAAAAACTATTGTTGTATTCACTAAAAAGTTTAAACATAAATTATCAAAGCAAAGATCGTTCCGAGTAGTAAATAAAGATTATTACTATTATTATTAATTAAAAATAATAATCTCTATTAATGAAAACCTTTTTTATACTAGGATGTTGGCAAACAAGCACATGGTCCATCTGATGGTAAACAATTTCTGTAGCCTATAGATACCTGAAACACCAGGGGTAGCACAAGTGTTTTGCAGACCCTTACCTAGATCTTCCAGTAACATGTACAAAATTGCAACACAACAATATATAATACTCCATTTATTGGAACTGACTCTGTTTCCCACTCATGCTCGAGTTGAGCTGTACTTGGCAGAGGTATCATTTATTTTTGTTTATAATGCATATATGCATTGTTTTTTGGGCTCAAAATATAAATATGTAGTGAATATAGATTAAAGAGATGTGGCATCATACACGAGCGATCAGCACCCTACCAGCCGGCAATAAATGGACATGCAGAATGGTTCGTACAAATTCTTAAAAATAAACTTAAATCGTTAACAACCATGAGAAGTAATATACAAGAAAATTTAAAAGTATTATTGCAACAATACAGAATAACACCACATTAACAACAAATAAGTCTCCTACTGAACTAATGATTTTCTTATATCTTGTTAGGTTTAGACTTTCATTGATAGTTCATTTGAAAAAAACTCCTGAAGTGACACAAGAGTAGTGAAGTAGGAAATGGGATTGTTACTGGAAACAATTACAACACACAATTAATGGAAATTTAGATACGAAACACAAAAGCTTAATTTTAAGATATTATGTAAATTGAGTGAAATATAATGAGAATTGTTAAGTAAATGTAAATATAACTATATAATTGGCCAATAGTATCACATTTTTCTTGTGCACTTGATGCATATGTAAACCTCTTTTAATATTAAGAAAATGTATTTGTGTTTTCTTCTAAAGAAAAGATGTTCATTTGTTTTTGAAATTCTGACAGCGAGTAATAAATGAGCTACATAATAAGTCGGACGTTTTAATTCATATATATTAGCACTCCAACAACGAACTCCCTACCGAGCTACTCCAATGAATAACTATGTAATATAGCGACACCTAATCAACTTAATGCTACAGCAGTGAGGTGATACCTATTATGCTACAAACTTAATGTTTAGTTCTGTTAGTAAATAACAGTAAAAATGTCTAGTAATTCTTTGTGAACAATGTACCAGCACTGTTGAATTTGTACAAACCAGTAAACAAAAGTAACAAAATATCAGACTTGAGACATCAAAAGACCCTAACAGGCCAACCGACATGACATGTAGAGCCTCGTATGACGACGTATTCCTACATACATTAGCCCACTACTTAAGTACAGCTATGCCCTAAACACTTTCTTTCTATTCTTTAGCAAAATTCCACTCCTAAGCTCTTATACCCATTTACACTTTTTCCCCGATTTGTACAAAACATGATTTGTTATCCAAAATAATAGCTATGTACGATTGAAAGTCACTTAACCTCAATAATATTCTCATTTCCTCATTAACCTTTTGGAGTCTTTAAAAGAGGAATTGTAAGATAGTTGTTCAATTGTAAGGCAGAAAATATTTTTAACAATAAGTGTGAAACTTCGACCTCACGAATAACACAATAATTAACTAAATGAAAAGAAACTAAGAAAACAAATACCTATATGTAAAATAAAATGAAGAGTAAGGGATTTTTTTGGCCTGTCAGTAAAAATTTTCAAGCCCAACATAAATACGTCAGTTTAGTGACAGTTATCTGTCAGTCACTCTTTCAAGACCGTCGAGAAAATGGTATAAATAAAACGCAGTGATTATTTGCTTAATAAAAATGAAACACAATTATCTTTCACGGTTTTTATCTGTTATTTAAACAAATGTTTGGTCTGAATCAATTTTATACATGAACCTGCTTATGATATTATCAAACTCTCCAAGTTATCTTGAAATTTTCATATTTTATTGTATTGACACATCAAAAGACTTTCCAACTGTGAACCAAATTCAAAATTCCAGTTAATATTCACGAAACTTTTAAATTTCAGATATATAACATAATAATAAAGGAATTATGTAATTTAAAATTGAATAAGGTTGTGTAAACTAGACTTACGGAGAAAGTCCAGTATACACTGCAAGATATACCTATTAAAAAAATAAGATATTCAATAAACTCCTCACTTAAGAGCCTATTACATTATGTTCTCATTTTCACTTAGTCATGTTATTATATATATAGTGTGTTTACAGTGTTTCAACGGCCATGATCACGGGTAAAGTGAAGGGCAGCCGGGTAGAAGGTAAATAAATCTTTTATGGGCAGACATATTCATCTACCTTCACACGTCTTCGTCTGTTGCTAATATTGGAACTTGCCCGATATTCTCTGCAAGCTATACTCGCAATATCTTCACGTCTTAATACACTTTGTGATCGACTAATTATACTTATAAATAATTACCGCGTCAAACTTAAAACTGATATTACATGTACATCAATTATTGGTTTCAGTCACCATCATCAGCTTTTTCCTTATCCTATTTACTTAGGGTCGGCGTAATATGTTATTCTCATCCATTCATCCATGTTCGCAGTCATCTCGTTTTTTTACTCCCTTTCTTTCCATATCATCTTTCCCACAGGCCATTCATATCGATTATTATATTTAGTAAACTTCAGATTATATAGGTATATAATATAACTAACTTCTTAATGCAAGGCCCTGGATCTCTGAGCTCCTCTTCAGTCAAGTAGACGCATTGTGTTTCAGGGAATCCAAGCAGTTCGGATAATAAATTTATATCTTTATAGGTTGGTTTCGCACGCAGTAACTGTAAGTATATGTATAGTATTATTTCGTTTCATAATTGTACAACATCATCATCATCATCATCTCAGCCCGGAAGACGTCCACTGCTGAACAAAGGCCTCCTAAAGATCTCCACGACGATCGGTCCTGCTCTTCTCGCATTGTACAACAAACAACCTAAAATTAAAAACCTTAAAAAGTATAATAACTAAAATATATTATTAAAAGAAGTAAGTCCCTTTAGGCAATTAGGCAAGGTTCCGAAGATAGCTGGCAGCGGGGAACGCTGGCAATATCTTTGAATGACTAGACTAATTCTTTGTCCGAGGTAGCTGCCAGCTCTTCGGTCTTCTGTGATGTCGACTAATCTTTTTGTTATTTCCTTAAAAAGTCTTATAGAGCTAGGACTCCACGGACCAAGGATCTCGAAATTATATAGGTAGGTAACCAGTTGGTACCAAATATTTTCTACGTGGCAGACCCACGTGTCAGCTATTTCTGCCGTAAAATTTACTTTACTTCTTGTACTGTACTTACGTGTTTCAGTTTGAAAAGTGAGATGTAGCAGTAATATAATTCAACAGTCATTATAGCAATTATTGATGGTGGTCCAGCGGTTAAACATAGATTTATTTCATACTAGCTGTACCCGCGACTTCGGCCGCGTGGAATTTAACTTTATTTTTCTAAAATAAAAGTAGCCTAAGTTACTCCTTATTACATCAGCTACCTGCCAGTAAAAGTCCCCGTCCCGTGGCCGTGGTCCAGCCATTTCAGAGATTAGCCGGAACAAACAGACAGACAGACAAAAATTGAAAAAAATGTTATTTTGGTGTATGTACCGTATTTATATTCATATGCAAGTTAGTAATGTGGACTAAAAGCACGATTGTTAGTAATGTGTCGGCGTTTCAATTTTATTTACCATTATCGTTAGGTATATAATAAAAAATATAAACCTCAGTGGCTACTTCTTTGCGATCCTCAATCGGTGGCATATTCCAAAACACGAATCCCACGACCGTCTCATCACGCAAATAGAAGATCAGACCTCGTTTGTATCTGTTCTGATACTCCTCACTCCTGTAAACATATAATCCATACTTCACCATTATTACATAGTATAAAACAAAGTCGCTGTCTGTCCGTCCCTATGTCTGCTTACATCTTTAAAACTACGCAACGGATTTTGAGGCGGTTTTAATAGATAGAGTGATTCAAGATGAAGGTTTATAAACTAAAAATAGGAAAAGGAAAAATTATATAATTTTTCGGACATATTTATTAATTTATTATTAGTACCCAGGAATTAAAAATAAAGGAAAATAAATAAGTACAGCAGTATTTAAGTTTTATTCGATATAATCAATTCAAATCTATAGTTTACGAATATACATTAGGTCGGTAATTACGTAGAACCTTACTCCTACACTTTTCTTTGGTACCATGACTTCAGGTGAGGCCCATAGCGGTTTCACACTCTTCTATCACTCCTTCTTTTAACATCTTTTCTATTTTTGCTGCCATTATTTCCCTGTTCAATGTAAACCTATAGCCGGCGGCACGCCAATGTGCGGATGATTATCTGTTAATATACGGTGCCCTTCATAAGGTGTGGAGGCTTCTCCTACATTACAGTTATACAGAGAATCATCCGTTAGCACATTACAGTTATGAATCGAACCACCGTTGTCATGAAGGTGCAACATTGAACTCTTAACTAATCTTAATATTTCGGCGGATGATGCGGATGGCTATGTGCAAACGACAGACATGGCTGCTCAAATTTTAGCGGCAAAATATTGTAGATGCATATTTCCATGTAGCAGGTTCAGAAGTCAACATTCATATCTATTACCACAATAAAATCAGTACCACCGTATCAGAATTAACAGCATCCGGGAAAAATAGTAAATGCAGTGTCCGGGCCGTCCGTGACACTATGTGAATAAAAATACAATTAACTAATCAAACAGCCTTTTTATATTTCTTAAAAAAAAACGCAAATTAAATTGTTTTACAAACCCACTTAATAATATAATTAACCAACAATAAAATTAACATCGTTCTACCATAGATTACTAGAAACTAATAAATAATAGTGCAGATGGCACTCCAACCCGTGGTAGGACTGATGGAGCGGCTGAAGGCCAACTCCCTGGCCAGGCCTGATGAATACGATACTTTAGTTCGAACCTCGGCTCAAGCCCTCGTAATTTCGATCCCCGTTTGAGTTGGACGGATGGATCGCGGGGGACGATGCAAAATGTATATGTCAAGTAAAACCCGATTGGCATGAGACATTTTCAAATATACATGTACACAACTATATATATATATATATATACCTATAAATATATAAAAACACTATACTGATATAACTATTACATGTACAATAAAATATATTTTATTAACTGTATATACGTAATACATGTATAATCATATTTATTGAAGACATTAAAATAATACGAAGTACCTTAATCATATATTCCAGATACCACTGTGTGTATCGAATCGTAACAACTACAGCTGCACATTACAGGGTTTCATTTACACAGATGTAGTCGATAAACAAAAGTTTCTGTGACAACCCCATGATGGTATATTTCATTACAAAAAAAAATATCTATGTACTTGTATCAGTTATCTAGTACCCATAACACAAGCTTTAGTTAGCTCATCTTGGTTCTAGATAGCAATGTGTGAAAAAAAAATTGTATAACTAACTTCTTGTAACACGGTCTGTCACCGTCGCCAACTTCTGCTTCGTTCTTCTTTGCTGGCGTGTCGTCTTCGTTGCACTGCTTGAACAGGCCTACGGTGGGCATACACGCGCCTATCTCTCCTACCACCTACGGAAAGTAACGTAATAAAACATTTACAATAAATAAATAAACAAGTCGGTGTATCTTCATTAACGTAGGTCTCATTTCGGATACTTATAAATTCAATCTATTGCCAGATCTTTTAGTAGTTCCAACAAGAACAAGTAACTAGAAACTCTAAAAGGCTACAAATTTCACGAGAGACTCGCATGAAATTGGTAGCCTAATAAACCTGTACCCTTTTAGAGTTTCTAGTTACTTATTACAGCTAGTTTTATTATAATAACCAAAATATATAATATGATATTATTCTGTTCTATTCTATTCTATTCTATTCTACTAGCTACTCGCCCCGGCTTCGCATGGGTGTACATGTATTATATACATAAACCTTCCTCTTGAATCACTCTATTAAAAAAACCGCTTCAAAATCCTTTGCGTAGTTTTAAAGATTTAAGCATATATGGCGACGGACAGACAGCGACAGCAACTTTGTTTTATACTATGTAAATTATACACATAATGTAATGATATGCATATCGAATTGTAATGTTTAATAACACATTAAGATATTCTACAGGTAAGGAAGTTCAGGTTGTTCAAATTATCAGAAATCATAATTAAGTACAGCAGCTTGTTTCCTATTTTAATAATTAGATGGCGCTAGCAGCTATTAGGGATGCAAGTGAAGATAGCTTCAACATGGCTGTACTCAATTGTGGAAGCGTATGCACGTTTTCAAGGCCATTTGTATTGGGCGCTGCCACCCTCAAGGATATAGATTATATATATTTAAGTTTGTTATTGTCCAATATTATTAGTTTGTAATCTTGTTACTGTAAATTTTTATGTTTACTTTGTTAGTTGTGGTTTAGAACTTAACTTAAAATGCTATCGTCGTCGTCGATGTCATATTGTATTATTTTACTGATAAAGGCTATAACAGAATAGTAGAGGGTGGACTCATTGCCCTCACTGAGTTATAGACCTTTTTGTCTCATTCATTAGTTTTAAATTATATTATTGTATGGACAAGAGTTGTATTGTGTGAAAAGTAACAATCCAGACGGCACCCAATAGGTCATGTTGGCTCCACCACGTATCCCTGCCCTCACTGAGTTATAGACCGTTTTGTCTCATTCATTAGTTTTAAATTATATTATTGTATGGGCAACAGTTGTATTGTGTGAAAAGTTTTGTTTGAGACCAATAAAGATTATTATTATTATTATATCACCCCTCGCGACGCCGACTATACATTACACCAATACATTATTCACCTCCATTTCAATGGCATTCCCGAGTTGCAACCAGTAATGTGGCTCCATGTTGCACGGCACCCAATACCCGGTCATGTTGGCTCCAGCCACGTATCCCTGCTCCTCAGCGTTGGTGTAGTGCTCCAGGCGTAACCGTGTATTCTTCCATTTAGAATAAAAGCTAGCTGCATCACCGGCCTGTATGTGTGTATAATCATATTCAAAATCTTCACGATTCTCTTTAAATGTAAAGCGAAAACTGCAATTAACTAAAACCTTAAAAATATTTGAGGATGGTCTAGCGTTTTACTTCCACGCACGTTAGGTACAATCCGTTATGTGCATAAGTGTAATTATTTGTATCTGGACATCACCTATATATATTATGTATGTATTTAGTTATTATATAAGTTGTCTAGCCATAATAGAAGCTCGCTTAGTATGAGACTAGATGGCGCTGTGTACCTAAATTGAGTAAAGGTTAGAAAAATAAAATTTGATTTCAAACTGGACTTTCAGACAGAGCGGTCTCATTTGTGGTGAGATTCAGAAAACTTAGGAAATTCGTGAATTTTATGTAAGAATGAATAGACAATAAATATAATCAGATGCGGAATAATATAATACGATATTTCGGTTGAAATGATTTACATTAATAGATGAGACTGACGCAATGTATACATACATATAATACTGATCATATGTACTAAATAACGCGCGCCCTCCTGCAAGATGGACCGATGACATTATAAAGGTAGCCGGGAGTGGGTGGATGCGGAAGGTGGAAGAGCGCACATGGTGGAAGTCTTTGGGAAAGTCCTATGTCCAACAGTGGACAGACAGACTGATGGTGATGTACTAAATAACAATAGAAAATGTACAGTAGTGTAACACGGTTTGTGCAGTGCTTAATAGACAATATGCAATTTGTGTTACTGGCCTTAATTCATTGCAAATATTGTTGATACGACTTCATTGAAGTATAACTATTTCCATTGTAAGACTTACCACATATAGATGCGTTCTGGCCTCCAACTCAGTATTGACTTTAAATCCTCCATTAATGAAGTCTTGCTCTAAAAATGATGGTTCAGCCAATTCCACGCGGGGCTCCGCGCCTATTGCCACCAGTACCTAAGTAAGTTAAGTTCTAAAATTTTGTATACATATAAATAAAATAGGACTGTCTGTTTGTGATATTAAAATAACCGTTTTACACTACATGCACATGAATATAAATACGGTACATGCTTGGTGCATAACATTTTTAAAATTTTTTGTCTGTCGGTCTGTCTGTTTGTTCCGGCTAATCTCTGAAATGGCTGGACCGATTTTGACGGGACTTTTTTTAGCAGGTAGCTGATGTAATAAGGAATAACTGAGGCTACTTTTAGTTTAGAAGAATAATGTTAAATTTCAAGCGAACGAAGTCGCGGGAACCGCTAGTTGTATAAAAATTCTGCAAAAACTGCATCATCTGCCTGCTTCTTTATCACCCCATACATTTGGGGTGGAGCCTCAAAAGTCTCAAAAATATAAGTGAAAAAATGACCCAGATTAATATTAATGCAAATATAATAAATATACGTATAAGTAATTTATATGAAGGGAACACCTGGTGTCTAAGGTACACGCTATGGCTTAGTTTGGGCTCCAGATTTCCCACAAATTATATTTGTAACTAGCTGTACCCGCGACTTCGTCCGCCTGGAATTTAACTTTATTTTTCTAAAATAAAAGTAGCCTAAGTTACTCCCTATTACATCAGCTACCTGCCAAAAAAAGTCCCGTTAAAATCGGCTCAGCCGTTTCAGAGATTAGCCGGAACAAACAGAACGACAGACAGCAGACAAAAATTTTAAAAAGTGGTTTTTTGGAGTATATTCCTTATTTATATTCATATGCATGCAGTAAAAAACGGTTATTTCAATATTACAAACAGACACTCCAATTTTATTTGTATGTATAGATTTATATAAAACTGGAATCATTTAATTTGTGGAGATGAAATACAATTTATTTACTTACGTAGTCCGTGATTAGTGAGGTACCGTTCGACAGCGTCAGCTCCAGACGTCCGTCGGGCGTCTCAAACGCGTCGTATATTTGAGCTGCAAATTAATACTTTTATGGAAGTGTCAAAGATGCTGACGGCCCCTTGATGGTAAATGGTAACCGCCATCTTATATAGATGAACAGCACCACGGACATAATGTTATCATGTGACGCTCGTAAAACCTCTCATCTCACTTAGATGGCATGTCATATAAGGATTTTATTTTGTTCTTTTTTCACACGTTGGGTTATATTAACGTCTAATATATCAGAGACAATAGAGAGTTATAATAGTAAAACAAACGTTCATATCAGTACAGTAGTTTCGGAGTCTATTCAGCACTTAGAAACAATAAAATCTTCCCTCTTATAATATTAGTCTATACTAGCTGTTCCCGCGACTTCGTCCGCGTGGAATTTACTGTATTTTTCTAAAATAAAGGTAACCTAAGTTACTCCTTATTACATCAGCTACCTACCAAAAAAAGTCCCGTCAAAATCGGTCCAGCCATTTCAGAGATTAGCCGGAACAAACAGAGCGACAGAAAGACAGACAAAAATTCTAAAAAATGTTATTTTGGTATATGTACCGTATATACATTCATGTACATGTAGTAAAAAACGGTTATTTCAATATTACAAACAGACACTCCAATTTTATTTATATGTATTGATTATGGAAATGTTTCCATGTAATTTATTAATAATACAAATTTCGTTTTTGCTCAGGTATATTCGATTTAGAACCCACTGTCATACAACGTCACACTTTCTGGACACCCTTTGTCATTTAATTTCTAGGCGTGTCGTACTATCTCTACCGATGGTCGCGGGTTCTAATCCGGCGATCCCTTGCAATAATATAAAAACAATGGTAGATGTCCCATAACCAGTAATCGTCTTACTTGAATGCATCATCGTAACTCCTTCGGATTTGATTTTCTCAGCTGCCCATTCGCCAAGATACTCCGGCAGTATACTCGACAGTATGCCTTTGTCCTTGAACATGTGTACGAACTCTGTAGCCTCTTGATCATCAGGTCGTTCTACATCTTTATCTATACATAACATTATATAAATCAGAATAGAATAGCAGATAACCTTATTTGAATAAACTAGAATAACTGATTTACGATAGACTCTAACTTTAATCTTCGAACAATAATCTTCTTATATACAAAAATGAAATAACGTTTGTTAGTCACGCCAAAACTCGAGAGTGGCTGTTGGTTTTGAAATATTCGTAAAACTCCAAGTAATTTAAGTGATAAGAAAATATGAAGAAATTGCATGGAAAATAGTAACCAACAATACTTTTATTTTCTCATACAAATTGTTCGAACTGTCAAAAAACCTTCAAAAAACGGAACGAAGTTAGCAGGATCATGTGGTATATAATAATTTTAATATGTATAATGATGATATCTAGAATAGTTACATCATTCTGGATAATTATTCACAGAAGCATAATCTTTCATATAAAATTTGCATGTCTTCTGTCAGAAATCGCAATGTGCAGAACTATATGTACCTATTCCATAATCATTGTGCAAAACCACATTCTTCGCAAATAAACGTTTCGTTAAATTTTCATTAATTTTATTTCCTAACAGAAATCAAGATCCTTGGTGGCTGAAATACGTGAGACAGACAAAGTTTAAAGTCATCTGTATCTTGGTATTTACAAAGAAAAGGCAGATTTTAGATTACGTTATTTTTTTAATACGTTATTGTTTAGTCATTTTTCTGTAAATGACAAATGATTCCGGGCAACAAGGATCAATGATTGCTACCAGGAAAACAAATAAACAACAATTTACACATGAGTTTTTGTTAGTTCTCCTCTACAGAAGTAACTTAACACAGTTATAAAGAATTTAGACGTTTACAACGACGAGACATGATGTTCTGTCTACTTACTCATACGGCCGAGATGCCAAGCCAATTCACAACCCAGACAGCCTCCTCCAAGTATCACCACGTGCTTGGCATCTTTCACCTTCCGGTAAGCGATCTCCAAGTCCCTGATGGTACGAAACGTGCACACGCGGTCGCGGACTGCTTTCGGTGCCGATTTGAATATTCCAAGGGTCTTGGCTTTGGAACCTGTTAGAATAAAATAGTTTTTTTCTTTATGTAATTCTAATTGTATCTACGGCATTATCCGCTCGGTATGTCTTTCTGCCCGAAATGTCGAAATGTCAGTCAAAAATATAAGTGAATAATAAATGTCGGAAAATCATTTTTTTTTGCTGTGGGCTAAAATCAAATGAAATGTATCGATCTTATTTCTGTTAGTAAATCTCTAGGCTATTGGCTAGTTTATGCCCATATTGCTACTCAATTACAGTCGGTTACAATTTGATCACTATTAGAGAAGGTAGTAACGTTAGTCTAGGTACCGCTCTGAATATTTGTGGTCTCACACATAATTGTAGCGGAATTATAATAAAATAATATAAATGCAATAAGGTAATGAAATGAACTTCCTCATCATCATACACCTAATGCGAGAAAATGTGCTAGGCTATATCTAGCTATATCTCTTTGTTTAACATTTCTTGTCTATGCAATTATGACAGAACACTTACCAGGGGCGAGAAGACAGCGTTCATAATACATCGGTTGTTCGCCGCACATCGTCTTTATATACACCACGTGCTCGCTAGCATCCACCCGCAGCACGCACCAACCGGTTGCTATAGACAAGGCCGGGCCCACCTTTTTCCGGTAGAACTTTATCGGATCCATAAACTTGTGGCATTCGGATAAATACATGCTGTATGCAAAAAAATCCGCATTAAATATACAACATTGTTAACTAGAGGAAGTATGAAGATCATTGTTAACTAGAGGAAGTATGGAGTTCTCGCCCACCCAGAGCATCTTGTATACACTGTCTCTATACACTCACTATATCACCAATTTGGCTCACTTTACGAAATGCATTTCGGTGTGACTGGAAAGCAAAATGTACTATTTATATTTAATTCAGATACTGCGTCATACATATTTTAGCGAAGTAGACTTTATAAAAGTCGGAACTTAGTAAGACTGAAATATGTGAACTAGAACTAGGTACCCATGCAGACATGGGTACCTAGTTCACCTATTTTTGTCACTAAGCAACTTGCTTTCTAAACTATGTTTAAGTAGAGGAAATAGACCAGTGAAATAGCAGAATTGTGACATCTTAGTTTTTCAAAATGGCACCGAGTGCTGTGGACGGTCGAAGGTTCGATTCCACGCACAATCCTAAAAAAGTATTTCTATCTGTTGCCAATAACCTGAGCTTTGCTACACAGAGCACTGGCTCTGTGTGAATTGTCCACAATTATTATTGTCATGTTGTAAATGTAACAATTTTATTGACATACGTGTATCTCTTGCCCTCCTCAATATAATTCAGGTTCTTAATATCAGGTGGCTCCGGGTTCCACCACATGTGCTTGGACATTGGCGGGCGTCGATACGGCAAGACATCTTCTTTCGTTATGAAGAAGACCTGTTATGTATTGAAATTTTGTTGATAATCGTAGTAATACTTACGCTGCTTCCACCTACGATTCTGACGCCAGTATCGTGGCTATTTTTGATGGATTAACATGGAATGGTGCATACGCATGAGCTAACGGTATACACTGCCGGAACACCAGTGAAGAATGGTAGGATGAACTTGAAATCAGATCAAAACCCGTGACGTTTCATGAGGAGATAACAATGGGATCAATAGTCCTCCATCACTAAAAATCTAAAAGAATTAGACTCTTCTGTAAAACCCAAATAGACGATACAAGTAGACTATAACACCTCAGCGAAATCTCTCTTAAATGGTAGACCCCTTTTCAAATATGAAGTATGGCCAGCCCATGTAGCTAAGGGTAAGGGTAAGGTAACAGTTGAGTCTAAGAATGTGGCAGACTAAATCGTCTAGACTATATTTGGACAAGAAAACAAAATATCAACACCTGCACTGCATTCTCCTCGCAGGATGACGTATGACCTGTACTTGGTCATCAGAGGTACATTGTAATAAGTTGTTTGCGTGGATATCTCAGTCAAACCTCTTTCAACCGGCAAGGGGCTTGCTTTGTAAGCTGTGTTTCGGATGACAGTTTTGGCAGTGAAATTATAGGATAAGGAGCATGACATCTTAATCTTCTGAAATGGCAACACAAGAGTGGTTTCACATGATATCGTGATGTACGCGTAGTGCTGTTCATGTATATAAGCGACGGTTATCGCTTAACGTAAGTAAGAAAAATAGGTAATCTTTTATTTCAAATTACCCTAGCAGAGAACTGATGCTAACAACTAAACTAAACCTTAGCTGTTTTATCGTGTTCCATGATGGCTCTGTAGGCGGCCCAGCCCGCTGCACCAGCACCTACAATCAGGTATTGGACGCACGCAGGCAGATCTTTGTCATGATACGGCCGCTTGATCTTACGACGTGGTCGCCCTGCAGTTCGAAATGTTTTCCCTCAATGACATACAAAAAAATTACCAGTCCTTATTTAAATGTAAGAAAAGCAAAGCTTGCGTCGCCGTAATATAGCGACATATACCATAAACAGCACTATGACCGTCGTCAGATAACGCCCGTAATATCCCCTATCCGCTGCAATGTCAAAGGACTATGGTATCACTATGGTACTTTCATACTCTGTAATTTAATTACTATGTCTCATCCTTCAATCTCAAATACAGCTTGCAAAGCAAACTGGCTGAAGGCAGAATTATACGAGATAGAAGTATATACGCACACAACATTGTATATTGATTTCACCTAGTACCTAAATCTAATCTCGAAGTCGATTTTCTCTAAATCTTCCTTCCACTAATTTGTCAGAAAGATTTAGGATCATTCGTGTATGTTCATATTACTATTTCATGTACTCACATATTGGTACATTTTCTCCCAGTTTATCTTGTTCTTCCTTCCAAATGTATATTCTGTAAATCTGAAAAGTATTAAGACATATAGAAAGGGATAAAGAGATAAATATGCGAAAAAATAAGCATAAGGTTGTCACGTTGTGAATGTTCTGAAATAACATACGAGTTTTTTAAGAGTTGTTAGTGTCCGTCAGCTTTGAACTCTGGTGTGATATAGTTGTACCAGAAAATACCTATAAATGTCTACCGAATAGGAAACTGTATTATAAAACGTATATAAATGAAATCGAATATCTAAATATGTTAGTAGATTTTAAGGTTTTTCTTCGAGCTTTGAAAGATTTTAATTAGAGAAAAATTTGAATGAAAAAATGTATATACTTCTCTATTATTTTTCTCATACAAACTATTCCTAGCTATCAACATTTCGTTGCCGTTTAATCAAAATGTCCGATCATCTACATATTACTTTGAATGAGTATAGCACATATAAGCAAGAGCCCACGACGGCCAGACATATGTCTTATTAGTAAACGTGAAAGTTCTTGTATGTGTGTCCCCAACACAGGTAAGAACGATCCCCAAACATGAAACCTGCATCGTGATCCCTTTGACAGGTAACAGGTAACAAAGGTGTAAAAATTTTCATATCAAATTCGTTATTTTAAAAAACCCCTTTTTTTTCATATATTGTTCGTAGCAGTATTACCTATAATTTGTGCTAATACTTTAGAGACATAACATCTTCCTTTGGTGTAGCAACGTACCCGTACCGTTTACCATTAGGTCAAACCGTCAAATAGTTTTCCATTCCAATTACATAAAAAAAATACTTACCACTCCCATTGTGGTGAAGAAAGATGCCACCACCCAGACGTATATCCAGGGGAACGGCCTTGGCGGTGGAGGCGGACATGGTGGCGCATCAGGAACTATCTTCAGGGAGCACGGACCTTTCGTCTTGGCACATTCTAACATTGGCTGCGAAGGTGGTATGAGTAATGAATGTGGTATGTGTTTACTTTTACGTATGGGCGATGCACATACACTTCATTCATACATTGTTTGTATCCTTATTGACGACCTCGGTGGTCTAGCGGTCAAGCACACCGCTTTACGACCGATGGTCGCGGGTTCGATTCCTCGCACGGCACAAACATTTGTATTCATGAGTATGATTGTTTGTAACGGTCTGGGTGTTTTCTATGTATAATATGTATTTAAAAAAAATCTATGTATATGTATCAGTTATCTAGTACCCATAACACAAGCTCTAGCTAGCTTAACTTGGGTCTAGATGGCGCTGTGTGAATTGTCCTGAGATTATTATTATTATTATTATTATTATTGTAAATTGTTAATTGACCAATGTGGTTTTTGTATTCACTTTGCAATTTTTTCTTTATATTACTGTATCTACCGTGTCGTATATTGCAAATAAAAGTTTTGTCTAGCTATATATATCCTCCCCCAACTTAGTATTAATAATTATAATTCTCTCTCGACTGTTACCACAGAGATATTCTCAACTCTCAACAACATAACTTCACAAAACTCGACTTGGTGGGGGGAAGGGGATTGTTAGTAATGTGGACTGATGATCCCATTGCTAGCAATGTACCATGTCAGATCGACCTCCACGCGGTTCCCCCTGGAAACCATCGTGATACATTCCCGGTGAATTTGTCACGTTGGGCTAACTGATACTATCATCCTCCACTGGTGCCCCGCCAGCGTAAACCGTTAGCGCAGGCGGGAGCACCATTCCATTATCATCATTTTAAAAAAAACTCGACTTGGTGTGAATATTGGCTTTTAACAGTCACGCTGTTTTAGGTTGATTGAAAGAGATCTCTTTTTGAGATAAGTCCTCCTTTGTTAATAAAATTTCTAATATAAAATCGTATATATTTCAAAGTGCAATAAATACATACTTCTTTGTAGAGATTATTTTATTTTTGTGTAGCAACAAATCCGGCAGCTTTAGGATTACATTTTAATTTGGTTTGTTACTATTGGACATGCCCACGTATAGCTGAATTATATTTGGATCCAACGTGACATGGGCGAGCCTACCATTGTCTCTCCAATTCATTTAAATTATTAGGCAAGAAACAATATAACAATTAGTATTTTAATTTAACAGTATATCCAAATCGTGCAAATCGTTTTGAAACCGGTCAGTGTCCGAATATTATGAAAAAAGTATGTACCTTTACATTATGTTCTATACTATCTATATATATATATAATATCGATATTATGTTTTGGTACATCTACAGTATTTACTTTGTGGTATTTATGTAATATAAATGCGTAACATGACCACTACCTACCCTTATTTTTGAAAAAAATACTCAATTTTCCCTCTTATTTGTCATCAACGTATTCCACTACTGGTACAAACGAAAACTAAACTTATTATTAAAACATTTATTCCAGACACCAAGCGACATTATATAAAGCATTATAAAACAATTTCCATCTTTTTTATATGAAATCAGAACCCCAATCGTTATCTAAGTTGCTTTTTGCTTTTCTCTATTGCGGCCTCGTCAACCTGTTCAGAATCTTCCCTTTCAGCTTGCTCTAATAAAGCCATACGATCTAGAGGCTTCCAGGGTTCGTGGAATGCATACTTGTACTTATTTTTCCCATGGTAACCAAGTTTCGGCAAAGTCTCCTTTACAAACTCCTTAATTTTTCTTTCAGGTTTATTCTTCCAATAATCTGGATGTATGATGGGAGAATTATGGAACAGATCATGCACATCACAAGGATACTGCCTCTGATAGCCAAGCGCCGCATTCCTGAACAGCTCCCTCGTGTCTTCATTAGGTACTTCCTGTCAAAAAATGTTAATGAACAGTTTATATCGTGCCGGTGTTTTAGTGCGTTGGACGAAAATCAGTCCCTCAGGTAAGTGAATTCTTTCTACTGTAGCACTGATCCTCAGTGTAATCATAAATAATTGGTCCGATAATGGCTAGCTCCCACCATCATGTCGCTCTCACTTTTTTCTTTTTTCTTTCCTCTTTTAAAGATACCTTTGAGGATACCAAGAAAGCTCTCCTCTTTGGGCTCTTCTTTTGGAGCGTCTTCTTGCTGATAACCCTCTTGCTGGTAGCCATACCCTTGCTGTTGATTGCAACCCTCTTGTTTACCGCTCTGGCCAGTGGTGAAGACGAATCCCGTCCGCTGATGAAGAAAGTACAAGCTGGATTTCATTAGATTCTATTTTCACGACGTGGGGGCTCTGATTTCGTCAAACGCACTAATAGAATACATAAAATATATATAGTATCGCAAGGTAAAGAAATAAATGGGAAAAAAAGTATCTACATCTGTATTTGCTAAAAATTGCTTAAAAAATATCGAGTGTAGGTCATTTATACGCGAGACGATACACTCACAGCAGTTACTGGGAGTAGTGTTACTGTGACTTACGGGATACGGGAAAGCATCGTATTTTTTACCAATTGCCAAAAATTATAAATAAGGAAGTTTTTACTGTTTTTCCTGCCCAAAACTAATGAATGTAAGAAATGTATTTATAATAATAATATAAATGTCATTGCCTCATCTACATCACCTCCATAATATGCCACATTTTTACGCCATAAAGGTAGTCATCCGATACACATACATCCGTTAGTTATAGAAAAGGTAAAAATTGGCGATAATTAAGTATATAATGTACATATGTTCATATACATATATGTACATTACTTTTACAACTATAATTACCCTATATATATCTTAATATTATATGTATATAATTATTGTTTAGTTATTTATATAATATAATATTATTATCACAGTTTTCTGCCCTACAACATATTAGTCGGCTTGTAGAGAATGCCCTATAGCATCAAGCTCGCCTTCTGTCCGCGTGATGTTATTACATTAAATTGTCTTAAATTACCTTTGCATTACTGACAGGAAGAGGTGGAACTACAACGTCTGGCACTTTAATCCTGTAAGGGTCGTAGTTAGAAGGCTGAGGTTCTTTGGGACATTCATATCTCCACGCTGGAGGTGGAGAGTCAGCCTTCGGCCATGGTTCCACTTGCCTACCCTCGGTCTGAGCTATATCCTTGCAGCATGAGCCCTTATCTTGGGAGTAGTTCTTGAAACCTGCCATATGCAATTTGAAAACAGCAATTTTTTAATATTAGACATCAACAATTATGTTACTTTCGTAATAGTGACCATAATTAATTGTGATATAAAGCCAACCTCTTCTCTATCACAAATATACTAAACATGCTCAAATTTTGTGATAACTGGTCGAGCCATTGAAACGTAAACAACAGAGTTTCACGTTTATTATATTAGGCTTTAGGTATATTTTTAAACACCAGATTTGGCCAATATGGTATGGTCCCACATCATCCTTACTAATGTTATTAAGTAACGCGAAAATATCGGTCTGTCTGTTTGTTACCTTTTACGACAATACGAATTTGTCTTAAAATGGTTGCACAAAAAAAGCAGGTAAAGTAGGTGTTAACATCTAGTTAACTATGCACAAGAACAATGCCGTGTTTAAATTAATTTCTTACGTTACACCCAAAGGATCTTCATGTAGAAACTTATGTAGATTAACAATAGTATAATAATATCCCTGAACGATTCACACAGCGCCATCTATTTCCAAGCTAAGCAGAGCTTGTGTTATGAATACTACAACTGATATACACTTAGATACGTTCTTTTATAAGTACATACATAATATACATAGAAAACACCCTCATCAACAACATCATACTAGAATAAAATAGAAATAATCTTTATACAAATAAACTTAATATAAGCACTTTTGAATAGTATTTTTTTTATTTTACCACTCATTCGGAACGCAGATTCATCACAAGAAGACTGAGCAAGTAACTTGCGTGTTTCAAGCATGTTGCTCTTTCTAATAAATGTTGTTCTAAGTAACACATGAATACAACCGTACGAGGAATCGAACCTGTGACCATCGGAAGTAAAGCGGTATACTAAACCGGTATACCACCAAGGCCGTCAAGATTGTCAAGATTGCCTGTTGCTATTAAAGACTAATTGCTATAAAGTAGGTAGTAAATGAATATCTTAATAATTACTTTTTTAAAACAACTCACCCAACCCTGCTACGATTTGTCCAAAATTAGTGTTACTGATTGCAAACATGCCATGGTTCCTATGTTTCACGAGACCACAGCATCTGAATGGGTTACTTATCATTTTGTTACCTACACACAAATTGATTTAAAATACAACACGAAAATTTTTAATATAATTTCTATTTTATTGTGGATTACATTATTTTTTCATATAGGTACGGATAATTTATTCTTCATTTTGAAAGAAACAATAAAGGTATGACACACGTTTAGAATATGGAATGAAAGTCAATTTGTATTATAACGACAGCATATAAAACAGAAAAGAGGTACCTATCTATATATAAGAAACATAGAATATTAAACTTCCCGATTATTATATTATGCTACGTTTACATTCAGCCGCTGCCCTGCCACTCGCACTGCCGGAAATATTGCCGTGCGACAACTGAGCGAGAGGGCTGAATGTAAACACACGCTGCCAGTCCTTTGCCTCGCGCCTGAATAACCGACAATCGAGGGAGTGCCGGGCAGCGCGAGTGGCAGCGCCAATGGCATGGGAAGTATCGTGTTTACACTCTCGCGCTACTTCCGTGCTCACTTCCCTGCGCACTCGGGCTGAGAATAAATTGGGCTTTTAGATGGCGTATCTATTAAACTGACGAAGTAGAGAACGATGACGACCTTGTATTATGTTCTCTATTTCACTGTGTATTTTTGAATCTAAGGTGGCAAAGGGCGAGACTATAGTCCAATAAGAAATAAATCTGGCGGTAAACAGTTACAGACGCTCGAGAAGGGTTTTTAAGAAGGCAACAGCAAGGTTTAACCGTCTCAAATAACGACCGTCTCAAATAACCCCATGTTGTAGTCTTCGAGAAACATCGGCAGTTATCTTTCCACAATCTAAGTATACGCTGGTGGATGTTCCTCAGAAAGATTTCTGCATATAGGTATATGTTTTTTTATATAAAATGTACTTACGTAAATTCATTGTTCATTGAATATTCAATTGAGGTTTTATAGATGATAATAGAATGTTGCATCTGCCTGCGCTAACTGTTTACGCTGGCGGAGCTCCAGTGGACGATGATAACCTGAGCATAAGCTAACCTCATGCTCATGTTATCATCATCCACTGGAGCTGTTCATAAGTTAGGTTAGAAATGAGTTTTTTTTCTGTGGATGATTGTGGAATGGTGCACCTGCCTGCGCTAACGGTTTACGCTGGCGGGGCACCAGTGGAGGACAAGATGAGCATGAGGTCAGGTCAGTTAGCCCATTGTGGTAAATTCACGATGAATTTATTACGATGGTTTCCAGGGGGAACCACGTGGAGGACAACCTGACATGGTACATTGCTTGCAATGGGGTTAGTAGTCCACATTACTAACGATCCACTTCCCCACACAAATAGTCATACGAGCGTGTTATATGAGAAAACGCGTACTATGCATTTTAATATAACGCGGAATTCATATTTTGTTTTTCAGTTTGTTATAAGGATTACTGTATTTACATAATATATTGGTAATGTCACTCTAGAACAAGGTCCGAACTGTAAATTTCTAGTTGCAGGATTTATTTTCCTCTTTTTAATATGAAATTTGAACGCCAAGCTGATAGCTGGCGTTCAAATTTCAAAGTTCACAGCACGCGTATCACGTTATCATGTGACGCACGTCAATCATGGGATGCCATTCCGGAAGATATATTCCTGTAATTTACTACCTTATATCGCGGTATAGCTAAACATTCTTACAAAAGAAACTTCTCGGTGTCGACTACTTTTTAGTCTACCTCTGGTGTCCTCATATGAATATCGGCTTTCTCTATTTGTTTATAACTAGCTACCCGCCTAAGGCTTTGCACAGGTGTACATGTATTATCCATATAAACCTTCCTCTTAAATCACTCTATCTGTAAAAACTGTAATAAAATCCGTTGCATAGATCTGAAAGACAGCGAAAGTGATCTACAGTAGACTGTAGTAATAATAAAATAAAATAACGGTTTAATAGGCAAGTATTTAATCATTATTAACATAAATATAAAGTGAAAAATTCTTTGTATTTACAAAGTTGGCAGCAAGTAATGCCATGTTATAAAAAAATGACATTACAAAGAAAAAAATATATAAATTTATTATGTTTACAAAAGACACTTGTGCTATCCAGTGTCATTACACACGCTAAATAATAAAACGAATTAGGTAAGTAAAAGAAAACATTTGAAAAATCGACTTTAAGCTAAAGATTTAAAGGCGATTTTTCAAAACTTGTAATTTTGAATTAATACTGTTTATAATATAGCGTGTAATATATATATATAAATATATATATTGATATATCATACACCATGAAGTTATCAACATATATATACCACGAAAATAGAAAATGGAACAATCTTGTGATAAAAAAATTGTGGAAGTTTATAAAAGGTAAGACATACTTTTATAAAAATTATAAAAAAATTGAATATAGTATATTCACGACTGCAATTAACTGCAATGGGACAGACAGAGACATACACCATGTGATTACCATCATGAGCACACTTATTTTCACATTTAACCAAAGTAAACTAATTGCAATCAAGTAAGCTCTCGAGCTCGTTTGTCCGTATGCTAAAAAAAATATACGTGGACTAGGTTCTGTCGAAAATTGTATAATATACAACGATCTGCATACAAAATAACTCAATCATTGCATTAATACTTACTATTACGCCATTAGGTTATATTCCTTTTTTAGTAAATATCTTTATTCATGCAGGTATATAGGTTCTTCTGATATGTCAAATATACCGTCAGTTCGGAGTGCTTTCAAGCTAAGAATTGACAAGAAGCTCAGCTCTTATTCAAATGACAAATACAGTCGAATGACAAGCACTATATTAGGGAGCCCAAGCATATTTATTTAATTACTAGCTGTCCCGGCAAACGTTGTTTTGCCATATAAATTAATAATGCTATAAAAAAATAGGGGTTGGTTATAGAAGGGTCAACATTTAGGGTTATATGTATTTTTTAATGACATTAATAAAAAAATACAAAAACAAAATTTTGCCAAAAAATAAAAAAATAGGGGTGGACAACCCATATCAGTTAGGGATATGAAAAATAGATAGCCGATTCTCAGACCTACTGAATATGCATATAAAATTTCATAAAAATCGAACAAGCCGTTTGGGAGGAGTATAGTAGCTAACATTGTGACACGAGAATTTTATATATAAGAAGATATAACTTGAACGCACAACAACCAAGGTAAAATTACATATGGCGGATTTGTTGAGAAAAGAAAAATTGTAGGCAAAAACAATATGACATTTATGAAATCTGCTGTATATTATATAATCTTCATATTTTTTATTCCAACAAGGATACTAATGAACATTGACTAAACAAGTAATAGACCTGACATCAAGAGTATAGAACGTCATTTCATAAAATTTACTCTTAAAATTGACCATACATTGATATAAAAATAGTCATTTTTTTTAATCCCCACGAAAAAATAGGGGTGTCATAAATTTAACTAGTCCATATATCTGTACAATTGAATTTTCTATATCTAGGAGACAAAACTTATAAGAAAGAAATGGATTTTTTTTTATTATTTTTAATGCTACGTTTACATTCAGCCGCTTCTCCAGCCACTCGCGTTGCCGGAAATAATGCCGGTCGAAAACTGAGCGAGAGGGCTGAATGTAAACACACGCTGCCAGTCCTTTGACTTGCGCACGACAAACCGGCAATCGAGGAAGCGCCTGTCAGCACGACTGGCAGCGCTAATGGCATGGGAAGTATCGTGTTTATACTCTCGCGCTGCTCACAGTTGTTGCCCTTAATATTTCCGGCAGCGCGAGTGGCAGGGGAAGCGGCTGAATGTAAACGTAGCATAATATTTTACTTATTTCCCCTTCAAAGTCTGTTCATTTCTAATCTGTAACATTTGAATTAGTTCAATTAGATCCTTGAAGTACTGTACCACTATATAAAATATATCTCTACATACTTCGCACTGTACACAGCGCCATCTAGTCTCACTATAAATAAACTGAGCTTGTACTATGAGTCTATACAACTAACTTTCGATCATTGACCGAAAACGCTCTCTCACAGAAAAATAGACCATACCGCGTTGTGAACTTGTCCAACTGATAGAGACCTGGTGGATGGATGGACCTTAATCCATCAGTTGATTAGGTAACGATATTAAAAAAATTGTGATAAGTAATTAATTTAAGTTTTTGAATCGAACCCGCGACCTTCGGAAGTTAGGCAGTGTCTAAACCGCTAGACCACCGAGCCGTAAAGCAGGAGACATTTTATAAAGCTAGTTGCTTGGCGGCTGAAATAGGCGACACTAAATATTAGAGCTGTAACACGAATTTCGGAGGAGGGGATTGTTACTAATGTGAACTAAAAACCCCCTTGCTAGTACTGTACCATGCCAAACTAACCTTCACGCGGTTCTCTCTGGAAACCATCGTAATGAATTCCTGGTGAATGTCACGATATACTGACTGACCTGACCTCATTTTATCATCCTCCACTAGTGCCCCGCCAGCGTATACCGTTAGCACAAGCGGATACACCAGTCTATTATCACCCATAATGTCGAAATAATTTTACAGTGACTACAACGCGGTAGGGTCTATATTTCAGCTGAATTAACATACACACTTATAATACATAGGAAACTCCAAAACCAACACAAATTCACAAATACAGTATTACTACACAATGTATCATACATTGCGTAGTAAGTAAGCTGGGATCGAGGTGCGGGGGCATCGAGGTCGTCGCAGCGGCCGGTCGGCGATCACTCTTCAATGCCATCACGAGCGGTTTCAAGGACGCGTCGTCACTTCCTCTTATTCGATTAATTTATAAATTCGTAATACATTATATTTAAACATACAGTCCAATTTATTGAAGATCCCTTAGGGCCTTAACAACAGTATTACAATTACCAAAAGACGCACAGTATTCTCAGCTATGTACACAAGTAGAAAACATTCCACTTTATAAATACATTTATACTTATATATTATGTTCTTTGCCTATATTATAATTACATATATATTAACACGTTAAAGACCGCACGCCCACCGGTGGGTCACTCCGCAACGACAGTAAATTAACCCGTGGGCACTTTAAATTAAGAATTTAGATAGCATATTAATTGAAATAAATCTAGGGGTTAAATAATGTCCTCAAATTATTAAAAAATATCCGGTCGCTATATGAGAAATAATATTTTTCAATACGGTCGTCAACGTGTTAATGTACTCCGTTGGTTTACTCTCAATTTCTATCGAATGCTGTTTTTACCATATTTTTTCGAACACAATCAATAGTGTCGAAAATAAACCGATTTTTTTTAGATAAATAGCCTACGCTAACAATTTACGCTGGCGGGGCACCAGTATTGGATGATGTCTACTAGACTGTATGACTTTACTTCATAATTATATATAAAAAAAAAAACATTATTAACAACAGGCGAGTCCGCGAACCGTACAAATAAGCCGCCAACCCATGTAGCTCGTTTTGGACAGCTCTGTTAGGCTGGTGATATACAGTTGGTTGTGCCTCGAATGTGATAAAAGTTTGATGGAATCCAATAAGCACTAGTCTAGCCATATTGATAACCGTATGTGTATCAGCAGCCTTTTAGATCTTAACTGGCAGTAAAATAAATAATATAGTCATACTAATATATTACTAAGTAAAGTAAGGATCTGCTTTTAGATTATATAATAGCTGCTAACTTATTATATTTATGTTTCCTCTTTTTTGCCTATTATTTTTTATTAAATATTATTGTATGTTACACTAGTCATCATCTAATAAAATTATTTCAACTATTAAACAGGTACATCTTTATTATTTCTGCTTTTTCATTACTGTATAATGCAAATAAAGAATTCTACCTATCCTTTTCTTTCAAGAGATTTTCTTAATTTGGAAGAAAGTGATAACTATAACCCACTCTGAGGCACCAGCTGAATGGAGGCGTTTTTAGCTCATAGCACGATATTAGCTTCTAAGTTTTTCTATATTTTCATTCTGTATTATGCTATGCTGAATAAATGAATATTATTTTTATAATAGTTAAAATAAGTTTATAGATTTCCTTTTTATGAAAAAAGGGGCGTAAGGAATTTTAGAAAATGATCTATAGAACTTACAGTTATCACATCTCAGTCGTATGTTTGATCTACAAATCACTCGGTAACATATACAAAACACAACAATTCTCAAGTATAGCTATTCTCATTCTAGTCCGAAGAGCCAGTTGATACCTTGAGCGAGGAACAAGATGAGGGGTTGCCACGCAACCAACCATCGGATCCAGTCCAATAGCTGCCCGTACAAGATATGGGGTCGGTCCCAGCTGTTATGATGTTAAGGTGATAGAATAGAATAGAAGTAATTTTCATCAAATCAAATTAATATAAACACTTTTGAATAGTCTTTCTTTTATTCTACCACTCATTCGGAATGCAGATATATCACAAGAAGAATGATCTAGAAACGTGCGGGTTTCTCCTTAACTAATTGTTCTAAATAAATACACATTACCAAAGATTGTATAGAGAAACGTGTTTAAAATTGTTCAGTAACTAACGCCATTTAGCGTTTATTATAAAAACACAGCTAAAGTAAATAGTGCAGAATACCACTAAATAATGAACGAGCCCATAAAAATAAACTTTACCTACAACAAAATAGAACTCAAAATCGGATCAGTTTTGGGAAATATAAAGCATAACCATAGTCAAAAATATACAATCATATTGAGATTTTCTTTTGGATAAATTGTGTCTTTTTGTAATTTCAAATTGTCTGCTTTTCTCTCAATGCCAATGAAAGTATATACGGTTATTACATAAAAAAATCAATTTAAAATAATTTTGTGTCTTTCAGTTTGTTCGGGTGGACTGATTCTGATGAATTTTCCCTCGCAGATAACTAATGTTACAAGGAGTATTTACTACTATTTTTATATTAGAATTTTATTTATTTTAATAAAAAGAAGTTAAATTCCAGGACACAGTCACGGACAAGAGCTAGTTAGCAATAAAACTTACAATAAGAAATCGAAAAGAAAAATGTATGGTTTGTAAAAGGATACGGGTTAGTGAACATCCGTTTGAGATCAACTTTCTCTTTACAATACGGACACATCTGCTTCTTGCCGACGATGCACCAGCCGCGTATACAGTACTCGTGGAACACGTGACCACACGTCAATTTGTATGTATTCTCTGTAAAATATAATGTTAAAATATTATTATTCTATAACAACAGTGGGAAACATGTATACGGTTACTGTAGTCTACAAATGAATGTTCCCTTCCGATCGATCTCATCCAATTTAAACGGGAATCGAAATTACGACGGCCTGAGCCGAAGTTCGAATCCCTAGCGGTGCCCTCAGACTAAAGGTCGTATCCATCAGGCGGGTTGGCCTTCATCCGCTCTATAAGTCCTTCCGCGGTTTTGGAGTGCTATCTGCACTCGCCCCCTAACGTTCTGTGTTTATGTAAAGGCCAGCTGAAAAAACAGTGACGTATTTGATTCATTCGTCTTTTTTCGGACTACTCTAATGCTGTTGGCCGCACAGCTTCATCGAACGATAAGGGGCGAGTGCAGATGGCACTCCAAAACGCGGAAGGACTTATGGAGCAGCTGTAGTCCAACTCCCGCTTGTCAGATACGACTTATGTCTGAGGGCACCTTTCGGTACAGGCCGTCGCAATTTCCATCTCCGTTTGAATTGGACGGAGGATCGATCGGAGGCGCCAACTACGTCACGCGCGCGTTCCTACTTATTATACGCCTTTTACAATTGACAGTCTAAAAGACTTTTCTAGTAATGATCTTAGGTTGCTAATATACAGTCGGTCAGTTGTCAGGTTGCCCCGATATGACTGATGATCCGATAGGTTCCGATTGCTGTACCGGGAGGGCAGAGAGTACCAATTAATCCCAATAGTAGTCCAAAATAAGCTATTTTATTTCGTAATTACATATATAGAGAATACTCAGAGCCCCACTATACACAATCATACTTGTCACTGCAAATGTTTCTCTATCGAGAAAATTTAACTCGCGACTATTGCACGCAAAATCCCTAGATCACCGAAGCCATCATACTGACAGTAAAAAGTACGTAGACTCTGATATTTCCGAGACAGCGTCATAGGATTCCGTAATTGCAATTCTTGTTGCGTAAAAAGGACCAAAATTACCTAAAACACCTTCTTCATTAACGTCAACAAGTAATTTGTTGCCGCAGACTGCGCACACGTCGCTCTCGAGTTGCCGAGTCGGCATGCCTTCTTGAGTGTAGTACTGGAAAAACAATATATATTATTTTTTATTTTACAAATATGGGTAAATTTTATTATAACGTTATTATAGACGAGTTTTTTAGATTAGTAGTAATTTTTACTAATAGCCTCACAAGGTTCCCCCTGGAAACCATTGGAATAAGCTCCTGGTGAATTTTCCACGATGAACCTGACTTAATGCTCATCTTATCATCCTCCACTAAGGGCTAGCGTACCTAATGATAAAGCCAAATGACTGCATATAAAAGACTAAAGACATGGCTTACTTAAATATTACACGATTTTTATCACTCACCTAATTCAGCCGCCAAGCAACTTTATGTGATTTGATTGGGTGAGATAAGATAGTAAAATTAAAGGTACAGAGGAATGACGTCCGGAGGATTATGATCCTCCGAATGACAACTCACTAATGCTACAATGACGTGATGATGATGATGATGATGATGTGATATCTATGGTACTATTCATGCATAATAATAATAATAATAATCTCAGGACAATTCACACAGCGCCATCTAGTCCCAAGTTAAGCTAGCTAAAGCTTGTGTTATGGGTACTAGATAACTGATACTGAACTGAACTGAACTGAACTGAAGGACACAGATATTTTTTTCTCGTAAATACATACATATAATACATAGAAAACACCCAGACCGACACAAACAATCATACTCGTGAATACAAATGTTTGTGCCGTTCGAGGAATCGAACCCGCGACCATCGGACATAAGCGGTGTGCTAGACCGCTAGACCACCGATCAAATGCTTATTTCGTCGGTTTGATTTCCAATCCAATTTTATAAAGAAGGTAGGGATGATACATATAGAATTTATAACTGCACTTACCCCAATTGTAGCGGCCATTTTTATTTGCGAAATATTGGTACAGTAGATATAGATCAGGGATGTTATGGATATGAAATTTCGAATACGGCTTCGAATACGGCTTCGAATATTGGTTTCGGATATATGAATTATTATTATACCGGATACGGATACGGATATGAAATTATTTCGGATTATCCGTTAGTTTCGGATAATTTCGGTTACGGAAGATAATATTTTAAGGGATTTCAAAAGTAAAATACAAGTAGCTAATAAAATGGTTACATAACGAGTCTCCATTAGGCTCCGCCCCTATCCGATAATATCCGAAATCTTTATTTCGGATTCGGTTACGGTTACGGATCTCTTTAACATCCCTGATATAGATGTTATATGAAATATTATTGGTCAGCAATATTTGCCAAATGCCATGCCCATACATGCATATTATGTGAAAGTACATCATTACATAGTATAAAAGAAAGTCGCTGTCGCTGTCTGTTCCTAAGTATGCTTAAATCTTTAAAACTACGCGTTTTTTAATAGATAGAGTGATTCAAGAGGAAGGTTTATATATATATATATAATACATGTATACCCAAGCGAAGCCGGGGCGAGTAGCTAGTGATACCTATAGAATTTATAATCATTTATAATTGGCACTTACCCCAATCGTAGCGGCCATTTTGTCTGTACAATACTCGGCAACATCCCGGCCTAATACACCAAAGTACAACCCGTAGAAAAGCAACATGAGAGCTACGTCCATCCACTGTTGAGGTTTGTACCCTAAGAGTATGTTCAACCCGAGGAATGTTAGCATCATGAGCACATAACCGACCACGCCGAAGAAACAGCTCGCTTTGTATATGAGGTAGAACCATTTGTATACTAATCTGAAATGGACATTTTATCTAAAATGTTTGGTCACCAAACGTAAAAAAAACATGTAATAACTAGCTGTAGCCGCGACTTCGTCCGCGTAGAACTTAACTTTATTTCCTAAAATTAAATAATTTTGTAAAATAAAAGTAGCCTAAGTTACTACATCAGCTACCTGCCAATAAAAGTCCCGTCAAAATCGGTCCGGCCATTTCAGAAATTAGCCGGAACAAACAGACAGACAAAAATTTTAAATGTAATTGTTGTAAATGTAAATGTAAAAATGTAATTGTAAGGTAAATATTTATATTCATATGCATGCAGTAAAAAAAGGTTATTTCAATATTACAAACAGACACTCCAATTTTATTTCTATGTATAGATGTATACATAATAATATCTCTGGACACAACGGAATCTAGTCACAAGGTAAGTAGAGCTTTTGTTATAAGTACTAGACAAGTGGCAAGAAATTAACTAAAAGAAATAATTAAATATTTACCGTTATTTATATTGTTAACCGGATCTTAACACTTTCTTTGGACAATCTAGTAATAATAGTAGAATAAACTGCTGGCAACTACCGACACTGACATCGTTGTTATTCCAGTAATCGTGACCACGACTAGAGCAACCAAGTCGAATCATCGAGAGAGTAAATGCATTTTCTACCATAAATTTATTCGTGGTAAGACCCGATTAATAATATAGGTAAACTAGATGTCCCGGCAAACGTTATTTTGCCATATAAATTAATAACGCTATATAAAGGGTTTATGATAGAAAGGCGAATGTATTTTTTAATAACACATAAACAATAAAAATATAAATAAAAAATTTTGCCCAAAAAACAAAACAATAATGTTAGGAGTGGACAACCCTTATCACTTAGGGGTATGAAAAATAGATAGCAGATTCTCAGACCTACTGAGTATGCATATAAAATTTCATAAAAATAAGTCATGCCGTTTCAGAGAAGTATGGTAACATTGTGACACGAGAATTTTATATATATGATAAAGAGCAATAAACATGAGTTTAAAAGGATTTATTAATTTACTTTATTAATTTTTTACTGCATTTTTAATATCATATAGCTGAATTAGTGCATCTTTATTATGTAGAGTGGTGGTTATCCTCATCACTGTAGCGTTATATATGTTGTGATGAGTTGGCGCTACATAATATATTGTTTATAGTAGTATGTAGGTAGTGAGTATACAGGTAAAATGATTGTACTATTTATTGTACATTATTGAGTTTATTGGTAGTTGCCACATGGTTTATTAATAACGCGTACAGTCGACGCGGAGTCGGGACGTAGACTGATTTTATACTTAACTTAAATCTATGTTAGTGTCAATAGAAATATTACAAGTGTAGGGATAATTATTATATTCAGTTTTTTAGACTTCTGGATCTTTATAACCTAAAACAACAACCTAACCTAAGTATATATTTATAACCTAAGTCTAAGTATATATTTATAACCCATGTCTACAACATAAGAGAGCTAGTATGAAGAGAAACAACTGACCTTGGTGTCGTAACGGACATTGGTCTATGTGTCGATTTCCTAATAACAAGAGCAGTGAGAAGTGTAAATATAGACCATATGATAATAAACCTCCACCAGTGATTTCTGGCGCTCAGAACCACTGGTATTGACCACATTGCCATCATTGTGAAGAACTGGAAAAGAAAACGATTATTTATTTTTAGCTGACCCTGACATTTATCATTATATTTCACACAATGTACACAAGATCTCTTTAAATTATAGTATATTATTCTGATGTGTGAGCTATATTACTGTTAAGTTTAATCAAAATCAGTTCAGTAGTTTTTGCGTGAAAGAGTAATAAACATCCATCAATCCTCGTGAATATATGTATTCACGTTATTGAGTTTATAATAATAATATAGTAAGAAAAAAATAGAGATAGATAGAGTTTTTAGAAATCAATAAGTGTTTTGAATTGAAATTACTGAGCTTGTAACATAAACGCTGCCGTTTGTTTATTTCATGCTATACATCCTCAGCTAAATTTAGACTTCTATAGGGAATTTTTCATGATTCATATAAATAACAGGTCATAATGGTTTTTCTTATTACTGTTATAGGTCTACGATTTATTTTATATAGACTACGTGAGCAAGAAAGTATAACATTAACTTTTACGTTTAAAAAAATAGAATATCTTTCTCAGAAGCATTGCCTTGGCATGGCCCCGTATAAAAATTTGTTTGGGGAAGTATTAAGATTTCTCACAAAAGAAAAACAAATGTATAATATCAAAAGAAATATTTATTCAACATAAATGATCTGTCACTTTTCCCTAATTTGTTTACGAACAATTCAAATTAAATATACTATCTCCTTTTCTATACTATCTCATTTTTTATATTTACAACTTGTTTAGTAAATCATTTATAGATGATAAGTTTAGTTTTTCTAAAGTTTCTGTCTCTATAGACAAGCCCTATGAAGTAAATTACTTAAACGGGGAAATCCCGCAACCCGACATAACCGATGTAGGGTGTTGCCAACTTTTGAACTATGCGGGGAAAAAAGAAATTGCTTTTTTTTATTTTTAACAATTGTGAAATAAATACGCCAATAGCTATGCCCCTGATCTATCTATCGGTATATTTGCCTATCTTGGTGGATTAGCCGTCTAGCACACTGGTTTTACATATGTTATGTAGTTGTCAGTTCAATTCTCGCACATAATGATAAAGTTAATAACCACTCGGACAAAGTGGCGAGTATTAAGTAGTGTATGTATATGTATAATATGTATTAGTGAATAGGTTATGCTCATGAAATGTATGTTCATCTATACGTGTATATTAAATATAGCCCTTTTTTTTCATTGGGTTGTTTGGGCTGTTGTCAGATGTTTGTAGCACCTGTAGTACTGCAACCTACATAGATCTATTGTGCTCGCCCTTTTTCAAGGTTCGCTACCTAGACCCGTCAGGGACAAGAATTGAAGATATTCTTAGGAGCGATGGTTTTTATCTCCTCGGGAAAGAGTGTAAACTTTCCAAAGCAGATATTTCGTTTATGCATGAGTGGGCTACAACCACATAGAATGTGTAGCGGCATTTCCTCTTCAGTTTGGCAGACTCTGCAGATTGCATAAGCCTAGTTATAGCCAGCCATATGCTTGTTTAATGCTTGTTTTAAATATAGCCCTTTCTAAATTCTCTTTCCATGTAAATATTCTCTACCATGTCATCCATAAGAGACTTCTGAACCTTTTATAATACTTTTTGATGTACTTTTTTATTCTGCTTGTTATATGTGCAATAAAGAGGTATTTTTACTATATAATTTAATATAAGGGAGCAGTAAAATACTCACAGCATAAGACCTATAATGCCTCTTCTTCCATTCCACAACAATGACTTGAGCGAGGATGACTGTCGCAATCAGTATCAGTACCATTGTGGTGTGCATAGACTCATGGCCACGATGCATCTCGTGTAATCTCTGGTGGTCATACCTGAACACAGACATATTCTTTATCATCATTACATAGCATAAAACAAAATCACTCTCACTGCTTGTTTGCCCTATGTATGCTTAAATCTTTAAAACTATGCAACAGATTTTAATTCGTTTTTTTTTTAATAGATAGAGTAATTCAAGAGGAAAGTTTATATATACAATAATACATGTACACCTGTGCGAAGCCATGGCCAGTAGCTAGTATAGTATAAAACTAAGTAGCTGTCTGTTTGCTTATATCTTTTAAATTACGCAGTGCAGTTTTCAGCAATAGATAGAGTAATTCAAGAGTGGTTTATATATATAATACAGGCTGATAAATTTAAAGATTTGTAATGTTATAAGATATTGGGGGACTTTACCTTACTTCCAACTTGAGATATTATTATCATTTATCAACTGACCCAATATAATATATACAATTAGCACAGTGGCTAATTAACATAGAGATATACAGAGACACTTACTGTTCTGTTACTGTTTGATTTTTTTAGTACTGACACTATTTGTGAGAGGCATATATATTTAACCTAATAAAAATAAATTGTTTTAGATTGATAAGAAGTAATACGAATTTTTATGTATGTTTACACTCCGACCGGAATCTTACCTTAATTTCTCTTCTGATGTCATTTCTTCATACGTCTATGGAAAAACAATAATAATTTATTAAACAAATAATTCAGTAATACAACCTTATCAATAAGATACTTCAGGATAATAATTTACCTTATTAGGATCAACGGGGCGATGAAGATCCATATTTATTGTAACAAAGTTAAATTATCTACTAATTATTAACTATATTTACATTAATTACAACAAATTGTTTTATTAAATTAATAAAAGAAATGTACAACAATCTGCGAGAGTATATAACTATACCCAGAATTTCAGAAATTTGATTTCGTGCCTGCTCTGTACTTCTGTCATTTTTCAACAATGTTTCTTTCAAATGTCAAATTCAGGTGATTTATTTGTCAAACGAAGTGTTTATCTTATGATTTCAGTTTATGAAGTAATTATGTTTATAATGCAATTCTTTGAATTAATTTCAACTTATCTATAATTCTAAAAGTACAAAAACGATTAAAAATATATCAGCATTCTAATAACTACAATCAGTTTTCCCGTCATCGTTTTGAAATACTGCTATGCCTAATAGAGGTAACTCATGCTTGAGTTATAATTTTTATTTTTAATGATCATCATCATCTGCTTCTTCCTTATCCTATTTATTTGTGATCGGCGTATTATGTTTTTCTCTTCCATTCATCCCTGTTCGCAGTCATCTCGTTATTTACTTCCTTTCTTACCATATCATCTTTCACACTGTCCATCCATCTCTTTTTCGGCCTTCTTTTGTATTTAATGATCTGAGGACTATTAATAATCATTTAATTCGTTTGAATGTTTAGTTAACTGCCTTTATTGCCTTGGTAGGAATCGTAGTATTCAATTATTTTCTTGATTATTTTGTTTTATAAATAACTTTGTAGTACATACAAAGTACATACATACATATTTATACTAGATGGGTGGTTTACTAATATTGAACAAAATAACTGGTCTATTCAATATTGATAATTGTTAACAGAATTATGTTGACTTCCATAGTAGTACCATGTTTTTTTCGCTTTCTTATACTATAGATACAGACAACTCTACTTTCTCTATTTGTAATGTGACATTTCATTACTCAATTTATTATTGCTTACTAGCTGTTCTAGGACTTTGCACAAACTTTCATCCCCTATTTCACCCCCCTTCCAGATTCATTTTTATGATAAAAGGACTCCACCTTCACATCATAAAAATGAATCTGGAAGAATCTGGTCCATTATCATGGTGCAATCTTTATGTCAAATTTACTTAAGTTCTGCCATTTAGTTGTGTAAAGGTGACAAACCAACAGACAGAGAGCTTTACATTATTAATATTAGTTAGGATAAAATTATCACCTTATATTGTTCTATAATATATAACAAAAAGCTGTCTCTCATCAAATATAAAATGTGATATGGTATCTTGATGAGAATAAAGAAACAACACAGTACCAGAAAATGCAAGATTTAATATATTTTTTATTTTTTAGAAGCAAATCGCTCACAAGGACCTGAAATAAAACAGCCAGTGGTAGTTGCACAGAGTAATGTTGCTGCTAAGAATCCTGGGGCTCCAACTAAGGCTGGTGGTGGAAAGGTAAGACAAATACATTTATTTATATTTAGAAAGAAAGAAAGAAATTGTAATATATTGGCATATCAATATATAGTTCCAATTTGGAAAAAATAGAAGAAAGAAAAAATGTTACTGCTTATATCCACCAGTTTAACGGTGGAATGACAAATTTATCACAACACAATAATGCTTATTAACCATTGCATGCAATTGATTGAAATAATTCGACTACCACACAGCAGATGTCCATATTGATAATGTACAAAACATCAGCTCAATATCTCAGTTGATGTAGTTCATTTCTGAAGCAAAGAAATGTATTAAAATAAATGTATGAAATATTGGCTTTATACTTACTAACAAAACAATTGAATGTTTAGATTGATATACTAGCGTCTCTGAGATAGAGACTGCAGGTGTTAGGAGTTGTCCATGCCCTTCCACAGACTTCTCTGATAGTCTGTGGTTTAATTTTTTTTATTTATTTATACTCTTTATTGCAACAGATACAGAAAATAATTAAAATGATGATACAAAAGGTGGTCTTATTGAGGTCCTCTTCCAGACTACTTTTGGTTAGAGAACTGTTATATATATAATATTTTTAACATTGTATGTTGTTATAAGTAAGGTTACAATTTGGGATGCTGCTAAATTATCTGCATTAGTTATATGGTAATACATTTTGAGATTGTGGTAATGACATGTCTGGGTGGCATTAAAAATTTAAAAATATATTTTCTTCATTGCTACATGAAGAAAATATTTTTATTTCTTTATGTAGGCAAGTCTTTGTTAGGTAAGGCAGTTAATTAACCTCTTATAGTATTTACAAAGCAATCAGTGACCAAAGTGTATGTATTAATGGCTATGTTTAAGTCTAAATTATACTAAAATATATGTATTTCCACTTAGTTACTTTTAGGACTGATATTTTGTATGAGAATAAATTGATAACATCACTGACACAAACTTTCATTATTATCATAATGTATACATCTAGTTTAATATATACATCATTATAAATATATTAGTATAACATATGGTAAGAAAACCTTGGTGTTATACAATATATGTTTAGTTTGATTCGTAATTTATTTCCATTAATATATACATATATGTATATAATATGTATTCATCTATCATATATACATCTAGTCTAATGTATACATGATGACCTGTAGAAGGAAATGTAGAGAGTCTTAGAATTATATATATATATATATATAATATACAATATGGATGACTATGTGCACCATTGCATAAAAAGGGCCTAATAGGTACCTTTTTTTATGGATAATAATGAAATGTTGCACCCATGGGGATGATAAGATAAACATGAGGTCTGATCAGTTAGCCCATCGTGATAAATTCATGAAGAATTTATAACAATGGTTTTCAGGAAACCAAATGGCGGTCAACCTTACATGGTACATTGCTAGCAATAAGATTATCAATCCACATTACTAACAATCCCGTTTCCCCCAATAAGTACCTATTACATTAACGAAATTTAATTGATTTAATAAAAAAACGATGATAACTAATCAGTTCCATATTTATTATATAACTTCTGTACATATTTAGTTAATGGCCTATTTAATATATTACCAACATTCTTAGCTACTACAAAGTCTAAATGATTGAATGGCCATTTTCCTGATGGTTCCACGGACTCTAGGACTCCCATGTTTTTCAGTTCAGCAGCGAGCCTCATTACTTGCTGTAAGCAGAAATATGTAATTTCGTTATAGGTTTATGGGATTCAGTTACCTAGAAATAATAATTGCATTTAATAATGGCTAGTAAGACAAATCCAATATTGTCTACTAAGCTCTACTGTGTCTAAACTGTGTCACCCCACCTTACATTTTCCTATTGTCATTTAGTATATAAGATCAATATTTTTATGTACATATCGTCAGTCCATTATCATCTGTAATGTACATCGTCTCGACCAACAACATCATATTCATTTAGGTACCTGGAACAGTGCTGACCCCGAACTTTTTTTTAATATCTTAGGAAACTTCACATAGCGCCATCTAGTCCCAAGCTAAGCAGGGCTTGTGATATGGGAACAAAACAACTTATACTTTGATATATTATTTTTTTAAATACATACATGATATACTTAGAAAATACCCAGACCAATACAATCATACTAATGAATCCAAATGTTGATGCCATCGGATGTAATGCAGTGTACTAAACCGTTAGATAGCCGCGGCTGTCCGTTTTTATATATGGTTCTATATTATACATGGTGTATATTATACAGGGTATAAAAAGTAGAATATTCAAGAAACTGCACCATTTTTAATAAGAAATTAGAATGAATTACATATTATACTTATAGGTACAATTTGTATGTTGGTTTTAAAAAAATGTTGTAGATTTTTAATTTTACTTTGGATTTTTTTTCAGTTCACGAATATGGTCATTGGTCTTCCTTCCCTTTACAAGGTTTTCTTTTATAGACTTTTTATCGAGCATTTTGCTCTATTGTTTAATTTTGTTATGTTCTCGATGGTGATTGATGATGAATGGTTATGCACCGATTACATTATACTTACTGATTTTTCAGTTAACTGATCACTTTCTCCATAAAATAAAGACACAGGAGTAGCGACATTTGACAAGTTGTAAGATTTAACTGCTCCCCATAAACCGTCCTCCCATGATGTGAACACACCTGAAAAAATACGAAATCGCATAATTGATCTTACCTATCTATATACATAAAAATGAACTACTGTTAGTTAGTCTCGTGAAAACTCGAGAACGGCTGAACCGATTTGGCTAATTTTTGTCTTGAAATATTCGTGGAAGTCTAGGGAAGTTTTAAATGGTGATAAAATATGCCACTGTCGCGTTTGTTAATACTAAAAAAAAAAACAAATACGGCAAGTTGAGTTTATTGTAAAAAACATGTATTCATAGTTATTAAAAATAAAAGAATAGTAGTTTAAAACCAGGGTTGGGTAAGCCCAAAACATACAAGAAACATCGTCCGTTTCAGTTCTAGAAAAAACCCCACTCTCCTCGGTATTCTCGGTCTCCTCGGGTACTCCAGCAATCCTCTTTAGCAAGTCTAACTCTAGTAACTACTATTCTTATTACAATATTAATATGCACTTGAATAACTTCACATTCAAGTGCATATTAATATTGCTTATCTTTATATATATTGTATTAGTATCTGTATTTTGGACATTATATTTTTATGTTTAGTTTTAATTATTTATGACATTTTATTAAATTATTATTTGCACATTTCCACTCACTCAACACTTGCTATACCACGCTCTATTGGATTGACTGGAGTTGACTTGAGTACTTGGGGTCAACTAATTATTATATATATTTTATCGAATTAGCTATTATTTTGCGAAAGTCCATTTCATTACTTAATGGATTTGTATTATTTAACTCCGCTACTATTAGCATGTCTGTGACCACAAACATTCAGTTCGGAAATCTGACCATCGCTACCGGAAGCCTTAAGACCTTCCCCACTAGTGGTCAAACTTCGACAGTTATCGTAGCTGCACCCACATTGCGACGTGTTCCGTCTCTAAACGGCTATGAATAGATTTTGGATATAGTTTGGAAGCCTGTGTTGAATGTTCGGCGAACGTTCGTAGTATGGTTGTTGAACAGTTATCACTAGAGACTGGATTATATGCAACATAAAAAGCTTGTTATATGCATGAATAATGCTTGAAATATCCACGAAAATTGGCAGAATATGCAAACTTGAATGATAAATTTTAGGAATCCCAAAAAAAAATAGAGAATTTTTTTTATTTCAAAATCTGCATAAAATTAGTAAATTATTTTTTGATAGGCGATAATAGATACAGTAACATTATATGATATTAAAATTATTTAAAATTTGAACATGTAACAATTTATATGCGTAATAGGTAGAACGACTTTGTAGTAGGCGAGAACGTCGTACTGTCTCTTTCATTTTATTATCGTAACTGTCAAAACAAAAGACGCGCGCGGCTACTGACTGCGTTCCGAAATGTAGTCAAAAGTCACAATTATTACTCAATAGCGCTTATATTTTGTGACTGTTATTATATTAAATTTGGTCGCATTTCGGAACGCAAGGTGAGTGAAAAATATTGTAAATGTACCGATAATATGCATCATAACTAGATCGTAGGTAAAATATGCTATTACCTCTGACAATGGCTAAAATATGCGAATATGCAAATGCATATAATCCGGTCTATAGTTATCACTAAGGCTTTCAAACTATGTCTAAACTCTACTCATTGCCGTAACAGTTTTTCTTATAGCGATTATGACGATTAGGGCTTAAAGATAAAACTTACGAGAAAATGTTACATTGTTTGGTTTAAAATATAAGTTACTTAAAATATCTGTACGGCTTAATAATATACTGAATATATATTAAAGGTATACCTGTTATAGCAATCTTTCCAAAATGTTCTAATTGTCTCCATGATGCTGGCTGGAACCTCCTAAGAAAGATTGGCATGAGCTCCTGCATGTGACAAAGAAAATTGTTATTGTACCAAGGTATATAATATAACTGTAGCGAGATCACTATACAACTATTCAATGAAAGCAGTTTTAATTTACGTGTATATTTCCCAATAGGACTCAGGGAAATTAAAAGTTACTTTAGAGCTATCAAAAGAATACAATATTTATATAAATGGACATGCTGCCAGCAACATCCTTTACAATATCTTCTTCGTAGATACCTCAGTGTCATGTATTTAGGACGCCAAGAAGCTTGCTTTGTGAGTTGCGTTTCGGATGAAGTCTGGAGGCATAGTCTAATAAAATGGCAACGCATGAGTAGTGCCTTTTAAAGAAGACTATATTAAGATTCTTAAGGGTCGGCAACGCGCACGTGAGACCCCTGGAGTAACAAACGTCCATAGGCTTTTTCATCTAGCAATAATCTCACTTCGTATTAATTTGTATTGTATTGTATTATACGATATTGCCTCTGCGCAAAGTTAGGCGTCCATTGACTACGGTAACAATTTACCAACACAAGGGCAGTATGCTTGGTTAGTATATAAAAAGTACATCACAAATGTTATGTGCGTCTGTTCTTGTATATAGTCGACGATTACTACTTTCAATCAGGCGTGCCGTCAGCTTATTTGTCATTCCAATTACATAGAAGGAGCATTCCCTACCAATTCCTTTTATAGCCAGCACGGCGAAATACTAGTGAATGTATATTTATATCTTACCACATCAATTTGTTCATAATCTTCTCCAACTATTCCGGCTATGACCCTCATGCATATATCGTTCTCTAATTCTTTAATTCTACAGAAGCTATTCATAAAGAAGTCCAATGCGTTTGCATCGACTGTTGCCGAAAGAACACCTCTAGCACGCATCGTAGCCTGAAAAAATCACATACTTTTATAACAAATTTCTGAACCACAGTATCCACATTATATTTTTAGTTGTAAAATCTATTTTCCAAAGTAATTTTTTTTGTGATTGCACTTTCATGTGTTCAATCGTTATTCTGTTCTTCCTGGTTACCCTATTGTCCTAGTTAGTATTACCATTTTTTTATTTTATTTAAAGTAATATCTGTCGCGTTAACCGCGTCAACTAAATTGTGGAATTGACTACTTTCTCGAGAGACTAAAGCGTGAGGTTTTCAAGAAGGGTACATTAAAGTTTCTTAAGGGTTGGCAACGCGCACTTGACACTACTGGTGTTTCAGGCGTCTATATATTACAGTAACCGTTTACCGTCAGATGGGCCGTATGCTTCTTTTCACCATCGTAGTATTAAAAAAATATATATATAGTCCTCTGGAACGGCAACTCATGAGGTGTCTCGCGTGTGGTTCTCCACGGTGTCAATAACCAACGGCTACCATTTAGCATGAGATGGACCGCAAGCTAACTTCAGCTTGCGTACCGAACTAGCCCATAATATTTTCGTCAATACATACCGGTAGATTGACCGTTTTCAACAGCATGTTGGATAGAAATTTAGCATTATCCAAATAGACCGCAGGCGCTAATGCTATAAACGCAACCAGTTTTTCATTATACTCCGGTCTCTGGGACATCATGGTGAAGAATGTAGTGGTACCCATCGAGTAACCGATGTACAGGATCTTCTTCAGACCTGTTACTTCCAGGACTTTGTCGATCATAGCTGGCGCATCGAACTTTCCATGTTCCTCGAAACTGAAAAACAATATTAATAATAATAATATTTGAGTTTTAGTACAGGGATTGTTGTTTAAACATTTTCTCTGTATTTATCAATGTAAAAGTGTACAAATAAATAAAAAATATAACCATAGTCAATTCACACAGCGTCATCTAGTCTCAAGCTAAGCAGAGCTTGCGAAGCTAACTAGACCAAACCAATCCACCCAAAGGTAGTCTGGAAGAGATTGCTTAGCTATTAAGATTGCAGCTGTGGTAAGACTCCCTTCTGTATAAGTTAATGTGTATTTGCTTTTATTATTTTCTGCATTTGGTGCAATAAATAAATAAGTTCACGTACCTATAAGCCCAAAATTCTGTATTATTCCTGTGCAATGTCTGATGCGCTGTGTGCATGTTACCGCGTAGATTCCCCAGCCACACGTCGTAGCCCGCGTCCGCCAGGATGTATGCTGGAAAAAAGATTTGCCTTTTCTTTACTAAAATTACTTGAATGGTAATGATACTGTGATTGTGACGGCAGCGGTGGTATAAAATACTGCTGCTGATAGTCGTCGAGTCGGAATTTTGTATTCAAGGATATGATTGATTGTGTTGGTTTGGATGTTTTCTATGTACAATATATGTATTTAAAAAATATAGATCTATCTGTTGTCTAATACCCATAACGCAAGGGTAGCTTAGTTTTAGATTGCATTTGTTTTTTGGACACCAGTGGAACCCCGCTAGCCGTTAGCCGAGGCGGGTGCACAATTCCAATCCATAAAAATCCTTACACACATTACTTTTTGTAATATCTTCTTTCTTCTTATATATAAAATTCTCGTGTCACAATATTAGTTACCATACTACCTCCAAACGGCTTGATCGATTTTTATGAAATTTTATATGCATATTCAGTAGGTCTGCGAATCAGCTACTATCTATTCAGTAGGTCTGAGAATCGGCTACTATCTATTTTATATTTTCATACTGTTATATATGTATAGATTGATATATAGTACAACGGTGGCACCGCTACACGTCACGGCCTCACGGCCACTTGTATTTAATAAACAGTGTGCTTATAGCAGTCCTTGATTTCACTTGCCTCTCGTATACACAACACATACCTCTAAGTGATAATCCACCCCTAAATATGTTTTTTTAGTTTTTCGACATAATATTTTATTTTCATTTTGTTATTATTTAGGATTGAAAAATACATACAACCCTAAATTTTCACCCTTTTGGCATCAACCCCTATTTTTTAATAGCGATTTTAATTTATATGGCAAAACAACGTTTGCCGGGACAGCTAGTATTATTATTAAAATAGTATTTACCGAGACTTCTCTCTGGTCCCATTATGACAAAGTCTAAACTGCTGCCCAATAATCCGTGTATTATTAGAATAGCCTTCTTGCCCTTTGCATTCGGAGCGTCAGATCGTCTTGTGGCACGTCTCCCGGCTGGGATCCTATGCATCTGCAGGATGTAGCCATCAGAGGTCTTAGCTCTGTGCTTCTCATTAGGATAACCAGCAGATGTTATTAACTGAGGCTGAAAGATATAAAGTCAAAAACCGTTTATAAGTTATTGATAATTTATGACTGCAATATTTATTAAATATTCAAGTGTGACGGAGTAGTGCATTTTTACGTGGCGTAATTGGTAACAGAAAAGAGAATATCTGTTCTCTTATTTTATATAAATGTAGCTCATCTGTACCTACCCCACTACGTGGGTAGTAGTTATGTTTTAAATGTCTAGTTATGTTTTACATATGTAGTATAAAACCGCTTCGGGTTAAAACCGCTACTGTTAATTATTTCCTTTTGACAAAAATACAATAGCATATTTATTTAATCGATTTAGGTGTTATTTGGCGGAAGTCTATTAAACTATTGATGGATATATGTTATTTTGTTTAATTCAATTCAAGTAGTGAATAGCATATTTAATTAAAAATTTAAAAATATATCTTGATGGATATATATTTGTTTAATTCAATTCAAGTAGTGAATAGCATATTTAATTAAAAATCTTAAAAATGTATCCCTATTTTTGTGATCAAGTACAAGCTTATTTGAAAAGAAAAAGAGCTGTTTTTCTTGTCAGTTCTTCTTAGCTGGAAAGAACTTCGAACTGCCAGTAGAGTATATATCATAAGAGTCTGTAATAGACCTACAGGAATAAAGATATTTTGTTTGTTTTGCTTTTAAATAGCGCTACCTTATATACAGCGATGAGCTTGTACTACGGGCATTAGACAACTGATAAACATACTTAAATATACATTAAGGTTTTGAAACTTTGTTTTGACTATTTTTTATTAAATTACTGTCGACATCCAAACTTTCCGCTATTTAGTTGATTTAATTGAAATACTATATACTATGGAGGATATTAAATAAATACGTCAGCGGATGATCGACGTATAATAATATTTTAATGATCGATATATTCATCATCGTAATCATCCGTACCACTGATTGCTTTGTAACAACTATATCAACGCCTCTATGACTATATTTATACATGTTGCAACTAATTAACAGATCTATACTTCCCATTGACTTTTGAACTCTTTTACTTTAAAGCTGACACATGAAACTCGGCTATTTGTGGTAATTAATTATTAGTTACCGCTAAACATTCATTCTTAGACAATATTATCTGATTGCATTAAGAATCTGTTTAAATTTATTAATGTATTACTTTCTCGGAAATTGTAAACACATTAGCTATTACGTGAATCTCGAGCTATAATATTATTAATATAATATATTGTAAATAAATGTCAGAGAGGTTAAAGAGGAATCGTTCTATCGTGGTATGGGCATGTAATGCGTAGGAATGAAGATCATATCCTAAGGACGGTGTTACATATGAATGTGGATGGTTATAAGGGTAGAAGAAGACCGAAAAAGAGATGGACTGTGTGAAAGATGATATGGTGAGAAAGGGAGTAAATAACGGAATGACTGCGAACAGAGATGAATGGAAGAGAAAAACATATTACGCCGACCCCAAATAAATGGGATAAGGAAGAAGCAGATGATGATTTTAAATAAATAAACAATGTCTTCAAATTTGGCACGACCTTCTATTGAAATTTACATGAATGTATGGATATCAAGTTGATTGATTGAAATTATACTCACTAAACTATTTACTTCCTTACACCCAATTATAATACACTGTTGAATAATTATTCAAGGCTAAGACAGAATGGCCATAAAAACGTAAACAATGGAAGTGTACCATTCTGCGCACGTTTATCCTGATTATGTTACTGAGATGCGCACGCGCAGGGCCCAGTGCGAATTCCGATTTTAATTCATGGCTGGTTTTATTTGTATCGCTATTATTAGAGTTTTCGCTTCCTTTTATCACGTCATGAACTGACCCGGTAGTAGAATTAAGTAATCGCATATTTGATTTGATAGTATCATTATTACATAGTATAAAACAAAGTCGCTGTCCCTGTCTGTCCCTATGTATGCTTAAATCTTTAAAACTACGCAACGGATTTCGAAGCGGTTTCTTTTAATAGATAGAGTGATTCAAGAGGTAGGTTTTTATATATAATACATATACAACCGTGCGTAGCCGCGGCGAGTAGCTAGCACTATATAAAATTTATAATATATTACTTACTATTTATAAAGTGCTATTTATAGTAATACATATATGACCAATATTATAAACGTGAAAGTTTGTAAGTATGGGTCTGTCTTTCTGGGAATATCTGTTACTCTTTCACGCAAAAATTATGGATTTCAATGATGATTGAATTTTGTTATATGACATCCAAATTGTTGTATATTTTTAAATATATACGTTACTTCTTGTGTTATAAATATATGTATGCAAATCGTGTATGCATATACGACTTATAGAGAAAAAGGTAAAAGAGTAAGGAATCCTTCATTAACACTGCATGATATCAGATCGACGTCTTAACAGCTGGTGTTATGGATATACCTAAGGCAAGTTATAGAGGGAAGGGGATTGTTAGTAATGTGGACCATGACCCCATTACTAGCAATGTACCATGTCAGGTTGACCTCCACGCGGTTCCCCTGGAATCCATCGTGATAAATTTTTGGTAAATATGTCACGATGGGATAACTGACCTGACCTCATGTTCATCTTATCATCCTCCACTGGTGCCCCGCCAGCGTAAACTGTTAACGCAGGCGGGTGCACCATATCATTATCATCCATAAAAAAAGGCAATTGATAGAAATACCTAAATTTATATTTTTTGTAAATACATCTAACTAGTATTATAGTCGCGATTGTTTGTATGTATGTATGGAGTCTGTAGGGATGGATGGATGGATGTTTGTTACTCTTTCACGTAAAAACTCTGAATGGATCTTAAGGAAACTTTACAATAATATAGTGTATACATCAGAATAATACATAGGCTATAAATTTCATGCGGAAAGTGGATACTACTAGTAGATAAATTTGTTCACGGCTTCATTCGAAGATGTGGTAGGCATTGTTGACTACTATATGTGTAACTAGCTGTACCCGCGACTTCGTCCGCGTGGAATATAATAAAAAAATTAATTGGAGATTTTTTCTAAAATAAAAGCCTAAGTTACTCCTTATTAAGCTACATGTCAATAAAAGTCCCGTCAAAATCGGTCCAGCTATTTCAGAGATTAGCCGGAACAAATAAACAGACAGACAAACATTGTAAAAAATGATTTTTTAGTGTATGTATCGTATTTATATTTATATGCATGTATGCATTCAATATTACAAACAGACACTCGTATACAGGCTCGTTACAAGAGTTGACCTAACGCCATCTCGCGGATGAACTATGAATTCAGACCAAGTTTTGGTAAGTTCAACTTTATCTGTCAAATATTAAAAATAATATTCAATATTTCTGAACGATTAGAATATGGAATTAGAAAGTGGCTTTCTAAATAATCGTTCAGAATCATACTTGACATTGTTGCCCTAAAACATTAGTAATATGTTGCTAAAAATTTGCCAACGTTTTCTTGTCTTGCTTGTAAGTGTAGCGGTTAAACCAACTGCCTTACTTTATAGCGGTCACGGGTTCGATCTCCGCGTTTAGGTCACAAGTTAGTTCTCCGTATTTGTTTTTATAAGCATGTTTGTTAGTATGTCTTTGTATTCATTATATTTTAATGTCTAATGTATCAGATGTTATGCATACATAGCACAAACTCAGCTTAAATTATTGAGTTAATATGTACTCGTATATAATTATCATGATTGGTGGCAAACAAGCATAAGGCCAATCTGATGGTAAACGTAGTCTATGTAGGCCTCAAACACCAGGGGTGTCACGTGCACGTTACGACCCGATTTTTCCTATCTACGTTACTCGATATGGTATTTATAATAAGGGTCATTAAATAAATAAGGTATAGATATTTTACATACTGATTATAAATATCTCTTAGCTAAACCCTATCCATAACGGGCCTGAATGCATTTCCAATTACGCCATGGAAAGGGTATTGTTGTGTCAAGAGCAGTGTATTTTTTTATTGTCTTGGTTTGGTCCTACAAATGAACTTAATATTGCTAAAAAAACTTGTTTAAAAAAATCAGAAAAGCGTGTTTAGCGGCTAAGATGGGGCCGCTATTATTTATGATTATATGTTCATGTAGAAGCAGCATCAGGAAAGAGAGAGGTGAAGAGAAACCAGTCGTGACTATTTACATATTTATAATATAGAAGTATTTACAATTAGTATATGTACAAGAAGGCGATTCGGTCTCGAATGACAAGCTTGTTATTCTTCTTGCTCCATCGTAAGTAGATTCGCCACACGTGTAACGTAGGCAACGGTGTTTATCTTCTATTATTTTTATTCAATTAAATTTTGGTAACATTACCGCACGATGATAGTAGATTCGCCACACGTGTAACATAGATATTCATTGCCTTATCTTATGGACAAAATTTTATCGAAATTAATTCTTTAACTAGTTCTACTGTAGTAAAAAATTTCCATTAGTAACACGTTTAGTATGAACAGAGACCTGGAGATGCAGCCTTAAGTATAAAATTATAATGCCTTCGCTCATAGGCATACTATTGTAATAATTATATCATTGTGTGCGCCCGTCGTCTCGTGACAGTCACGATTGTGTCCATGTGATTAGAAATGATGATGACAATGATACGCTGCAATTACTTATCGCAGATAAATTAATCACTATAACTTCAACGCATTTTCATTTAATATACGATCTGAGATTATTGATTGACGTGGTATGGGCTTCTTAGGCGGAGGAACGAGGATCATGTCTTAAAGTATAGAATATGAACGTAGATGGCTGGAAAGAGAGAGGACGACTGAAAATAAGATGGATGGATTGTGTGAAAGATGATAGTATTAAAGAAAGGAGAGTATGCTCAGATATGATGGCCAATAGGGAGAAGAAGGTGATATACTGTGCCGACAAGTAATAGAATTAAGGCAAGGCAATGATCATGATCATCTGTGTTTATTATCTAACATTAAATTTGAACTACGGGGTATTTGGTCCCAAATATATACAACAATTTAGATGTGATGCAACAAACTTCTAATTTACTTGAGCAGTACTGAGAACAAATTTAAAAAAAAAACACTGTTTAGCTTTTTTTACATGTAATTAAACATTCATTTCATTTAATTGAATTTCATTACGCATGATAATGAAATAGCGCATCTGCCTGTGCTAACGGTTAGCGCTGGCGGGGCACCAGCGGAAGTTGAAAAGATCAACATGAGGTCACGTTAGTCAGCCCATCGTGCAAGAATTTATCACGATGGTTACCATGGGGAACCGAGTGGAGGTCGACAAGGACATGGTGCACTGCTAGCAGTAGCTCAGTCTACATTACTAACGGATTGTTAGACCTTTCACCCCAAGCTGATATAATAAAAAACGAATAGGTACTTACTAAATTATTGTTAAGTATGTGATTTATATGTATAGATGTAGATAAGTGAGTCTAAGTGGGTGGAAGGGGTTGTTAGTAATGTGGACTGTTGACCCCATTGCTAGCAATGTACCATGTCAGGTTGACCTCCACGCGGTTCCCCCTGGAAATCATCGTGATAAATTCCAGTTTAATTTACCACGATGGGCTAACTGACCTGACCTCATTCTCATCTTATAATCTTCTACTGATGCCCCGCCAGCGTAAACCGTTAGCGCAGGCGGGTGCACCATTTCATTATCATATACAAAAAAAAAAGAGTTTAAGTATTAATAAATATGAACTATATTTTGCGAACAAACTATTCTACAGTTTGGCGAGTTATATAATAATAATAATTGTAACCTATTTTTGATAAATAAAAAAAAACATTTTTCGCTCACTATCGCCTCCAATTTTGTTAGATCCGTCATACCAGGCACAAATCCGCGGAAGATTATCTCACGTACCCGCACTCATTACACTTATACACTTGTCGAAATGACGAGAAAATTATGGTCATTTCTATTATTTAGTAATGTGGCAATTATTATTATTAATTTCTCGCTTCACTGGAGTATGTCGTTATTATTTATATAGTAAATAATTACTTAAATATATAATAATAATAAGATTTCTTTATTGGAACTGAAAAATAATATTTCACAGAGTAGGATAGTGTAGCGGTAACTGCCACATCTTAATAATGTTATGAACGCGAATGTTTGTGAATATGGATGGGTGTTTGTTACTCTTTCACGCAAAAACTACTGTATTTTTATAAAACTTTACATTAATATATCTTATACATCAGAATACCACATAGGCTATAAATTTCAATTTGAGGGTGAAACCGCGGGCACTGCTAGTCTATAAATATAAATAAAATTGGAGTGTCTGTTTGTAATATTGAAGTAACCGTTTTTTACTACATGCATATGAATATAAATACGGTACATACACCAAAATAACATTTTTTACAATTTTTGTCTGTCTGTCTGTTTGTCCCGGCTAATCGCTGAAATGGCTGGACCGATTTTAACGGGACTTTTTTTGGCAGGTAGCTGATATAATAAGGAGTAACTTAGGCTACTTTTATTTTAGAATAATAAAGTTAAATTCCACGCGGACGAAGTCGCGTGCACAGCTAGTTAGTAATAATATTCCACGTCAAGTACCAAATTGTAACTACGTGTCCTCGCGATGCTTGAGATGAGAGTGGTGAAACAGAAAGTTTATATAAATTCAGTTCAAACTTAAGCGCTGCACAGATTACCTGGTAACATTAGACTGAGGAGAGTCTGTGTAGTAAGGTTCACTGATTCCGTTTATAATACAAGGAAGTGAGTTGATTTGGTTATAAATTCAATTCCCGTCAAGGTAGGGGCCGAAGACCCTTCAGGTCCTAAAAATTTTAATCTATAATATTTTAATGGAGTAATTATAAAAACTACCATTTTAGTGACTGTTAGAAATATAAAGTCAAATTCCGCGGACGAAGTCGGGCACAACTAGTTTAATATTTAGTCCACTTTATTTGAGGAACGCAACTTATTTTTCCTTCTTAATTAAGACTAGCTGTACCCGCGGCTTCGTCCGCATGGAATTTAACTTATTTTACTATTATAAAAGATTTTTTGCTAAAATAAATGTAGCCTAAATTACTCCTTATTACATCAGCTACCTGCCAATAAAAGTCCCTTCAAAATCGGTCCACCCATTTCAGAGATTAGCCGGAACAAACAGACAGACAAAAATTTTAAAAACTGTTACTTTGATCTATGTACCGTATTTACATGCATGTAGTAAAAAACGATTATTTCAATGTTACAAACAGACACTCCAATTTTATTTGTATGTATAGACTACTCCAGTGCTTAAAAAGAGCTGTATTGTCTACTTTTTTTTTTCTTTTTTTTGGCAAAAGGCTAGTGTTGTCTATGATGCCAGTGTTGTCTACTTATATACTTGGTGAAGACGTCTACACCACACATCTTTGTTATTACCGCGTTTATAAATTTAAATATCGAACACGCCAGCGATATCAATTTCAATACCAATCAAAAACGTAGTGATTACTTGCTAACTGTTCTAAATATAAATTAATGAAACCAATTTTAAAATCCTTGTTTTTCTGTGAGTACAAAATGAATTGTAGCAACTCACCACACTCATATATGCCTCCTTTTTCATCTGTGTCTCACTGTAGATAAAGCATGAGCACAACACAAAAACTGTTGGGATTATAAAGGCCATGCTTCATTCGCAAACAGCGACGTTCTGCTCCCTGACCGTGTGCAGATCGATGCGCGTTCGAAATACTCATCTCGCGAGTCCTGCGTGTGGTTTTATTTTATGCCAGTAATATTTGTCATATAACGTTAATGTACAGTCGGCTTCATAAATATATTATACTGCAATTAATAATAGACTAATATTATGCGATAATATGTCTGACTGTTTGTTACCTTTTCACGGTTATACAGCTGATTTAATTGAACTTTTATTTTGATATTAAATTAGATTATATAGATTATATCATGTCTCATAATCATATTCATGTTATCATCTATCAATTATCTCAAAAAAGGAGACAAAGTCGCGGATTAATTGTAGTTAAAGATAAATACAGATTATAAATGTTTTCAAATCAAAAGTAATTTCAAACACAAAAAAAATCTAAGTGATATATATGATGTAATTTCAGTCAGTATGATCATATACAAGGTTAATCTTCAATAATAGTTAATAATAGTTCGGTTTCATGAAGATTCTACCTGCATTTAATTTGTACTGTTTACGTTGTAACCATGTATATGATGCTGACTGTACTTTATGTGACGCATATCGTTTAGATATCGTGAATTAATTCTTACATTACAAATATATAACTATTTCTATGCATATATGTCTATCTCTTATAAACAACAAAAAAGTGGACAGACAAACAGACATTTATAGTTTTTTTACGTAACTGAATAGTAAACAAGCTTACGGCTCACCTGATGGTAAACAATAACCGTCTAGTATATACATGAACAACACCACAGATCACTTTAAATAAATTACCCTGGCCAATTAATACAACGCCATCTAGTCTCACGGTAAGCAGAGCTTGTATTATGGATACTAGACAACTGATATAAATACTTACATTAGGTTTTTTAAATACATACATGATATATATATATAAAACACCTAGATCAATACGAAGAATCATACTCATGAATAAAAATGTTGCACCATGCGAGGAATCGAACCTGCGATCATCGGAAGTAAAGCGGTATGCTAAACCGCTAGACCACCGAAGCAGTCAACATCGTCACACATTATCATGTGACATTCTAAATAAATATTATATATATAAATCTAAAATAAAAATATATATATATAATAAAATAAAAAATATGTAAAATATATCTAAATCTAAAATTGGAATGGTTAATGTTATGTCTCATTTTCAGTAATTTCACTGCCTTTTCTCGAGATAGAACTGAAATAAGTATTATTTCAGTTCTATCTCGAGAAAAGGCAAGGGGGCACGCTGAGGAAACCCGTGCTGGACAAAAAGGCCCTACTCCATGAGGACATAATTGTGTAGCAAAATGCTACACGGGTGGGACTATGTTGGAAACTATTTTTATACCTTTTTTATTATCTATGTTTTTTTATTATATTTTTTCTATATGACATAAGTCAATTTAATACAAAAATATTCTATCAACTACAACGGTGCCGTTTTACTTTTTGCTCGTGATCTTGATCTCCATCCTTCACATTTGGTCTTCGAGCCGACCTTCACAGTTTAGTCCTCTATCGCCGAAGTATTTACGAGGACAATCATGCAAACGGGATTGAAGACACAAAAATATACGCAAGCGAAGGATACTAGCGAAGTATGTTCGGAGTCTGATATGCTCGTCGCGGGTGGGTTCGGTCGGTCACCAGAAATTGACCACGTTTTAGCCGAACCCACGTTGATGCTCGCGACAAGCCACCCTGAACTTATTACGCCTATTCAGAGTCCTACGTTAAGCACCGAACGCAAGAAATATGGCTCCAGTTCTAAAGTGCATTTGTCGGGGTCGCTACAGTCATCGTCCACAGTTAGGGCACGTAGGTTGACTGCAGAGGCACAGTTAGCTCGACGGTGCATGGAACGGGAACGTGAGCAGTTTGAACGTGAGCAAGAGTTCGCCATGCAGCTGGCCCAGAAAAGGTTTGAACATGAACGTATCATTCAACAGGCTAAACAAGTAGAAGAACTTGAGATGGAAGCAAACCTAGCGGCTCAGGAATCAGAGCGCCGCTCCACTCGTTTGGTTAGTCCATCACATTCTCGTACTGCGTCCTGGATAAACGACGCACATAATACTTTTACCTGTCCACATATAGACATCAATGAGCCCGTACTGAATCCTAAACAAAAAGATAATGCTCATTTTTTACCAAGTTCAATTCCGGAGCCTAATTATGTCGATCGGAATTATGTGAGTAATTCATTTCATCATATTTCGGAACCTATCAACCGTAATATTCAGACTATATTTTCTTGTGATAATGCTAAAAAACATGAATATTTGCAATACGTTGACAACGAACCATTTTTGACATGTCAAATTACATCAAAATCGACTAATAATAATTTATTTCGGTCAACGTCAAATAATGTTCGTTTCTCTAGGCAACCTACATTGAACGATAACAAAGAGTTTTCAAATACGTTGCCTAAGAACTTAGAAAATAAAATGGATGTTTCAAAGACGGTCACATAGAATGTCACATTTTCGTTTATTCTTGTGCATGAAGACCTATGAAACATCTCTAGAAATCGTCGAAAATTCTTCAGCTGATTGCAGAATAAAAAATTTACGACGCTTTGTATTAGACAGAAGCATACCAAAATTGAGACAGTTCGATAGTGAAAGCCTGAAGTTAGCCGTGTTCCATTACCAGTTCGTGAGAGATTTCGCTGATGCTATGCACTATGACTGGAAATTTGTACCACCCGATTTACCGTTAAACATATGCCCTCATAGATACATAGAATGACATTGTTTACCCGGGCAACGATGAACTTGTGCGAGTAGCTGATGTGGCCTCAAAAGGGGCACGCTGAGGAAACCCGTGCTGGGAAAAAGGCCCTACTCCATGAGGACATAATTGTGTAGCAAAATGCTACACGGGTGGGACTATGTTGCAAACTATTTTTATACCTTTTTTATTATTTATGTTTTTTTATAATATTATATTGTTTTTATATGACATAAGTCAATTTAATACAAAAATATTCTATCAACTACAACGGTGCCGTTTTACTTTTTGCTCGTGATCTTGATCTCCATCCTTCACAATACTTATACATCTGCTTGGAGGCTGAAATAGGCGGGACTAAGGTACCCTCAGACGACTACTTAATAATCTATCTAGGTAAACATAGATGATGTTGTTAGTATAGAATTTAATCAAAGTCTATTGTTTTAGTTCTTCAACTTGTCTATTATCCTGACAAATTGAATGACATGGGGACACAATTTAGCTTAACCTGCGAGATCACTGGCAGGAAATGCCAGGATTGATACATTCAAAAGCCCTAATATCGGGCTACTCGAACAAATACTCCAATAGACTATTGCTATTGAGTAAAAACAACATATGCATGATGACTGGGGCCCTCACAGGACACTGCAAATTAAACAAGCATATGGCTTACCTAGGCCTATGCACAACAAAAATCTGCAGATTCTGCCAAACTGAAGAGGAAACGCCAGTACACATCCTATGTGATTGTAGCCCAGTCATGCATAAACGAAATATCTCCTTTGGAAAGTTTATACTCTTTCCCGAGGAGATAAAAACCATCGCTCCTAAGAATATCCTTCAATTCTTGTCCCTGACGGGTCTAGGTAGCGAACTTTGAAAAAGGGCGAGCACAATAGATCTATGTAGGTCGCAGTGCTACAGGTGATATCTGACAATAGCCCAAACAACCTAATAAAAAAATAAAAAAAACCTGCGAGTTTGTGTTTGTTGTGTGTAGGGACAATAATAGTCCTTCAATTTAGTTGTTAGTATAGAAATTGTATCAAGGTCTATTGCTTTAGTTCTTCAACTTGTCTATGGTCCTGGTAAGGTAAATAACATGTGAGATTAAACTAGCTTAGCCCACGAGTTCGTGCCCGTTATATTCGGAACAAGAACAGTTTGTAACTTTTTGTTTTATAAAACTATTGAAAACATACTATTACCACGATACATTAGTGTAAAATTAACCGAAATCGGTTTAGCCGTTTCAAAAATTGACGCACAGACTCAAACAAACAGTAAAAATCTAACAGTCGTTGTTTTAGGTATTGTTAAGTTGATAAAATCTAGGTCTCTATAGGCTACGCTAACCGTTTAATATCAGATGGGCCGTACACCCGTCGGCGCTAATGGTTTACCCTGGGAGGCGCCAGAAGAGGATGATAGAATGAACATGAGGTTGGTCAGATAACCCATCGTGACAAATTCACCAGGAAATTATCTCGATGGTTTCCATTCCACTAGGGGGTGCAGCCTTTACTCGGCAGCAACTTCCGGGGGACTGGATTTAAGCTCTATTGGGAGGAATATGCTTATCTGCTTATTTTATGTAAATTTATGGACTATATTATACCTATGTACATTATATCAGTTTATCCTAACTTAAAAAGTAGTACCATATTTGGTGATTTGAATTTTTGCGTTGCATGAATGTTTTGTTCTTTGGATTATCAATAGAGCCTGTCTAGAAATACTATATACACGCGATCGGAGTCGAGGGTATCACTAGTCCAACAAAAAGACCACTGCCACTTCAAACCTGACTATTTGGTTAACTGGATAAATGTCCCTTGAAAATCCAGTTCTAAAGGTTTTACTGTAATATAATGAGCGAATATTTTTTATTTTCTTTGTAAAGAACAAAGTGTTCAATGAGTTCACATACAAAAAGCTTCGTAAACAGGCTGTATGTATTCTCACTCCGATCGATCTACCGTCCAATTTAAACGAGAATCGAAATTACGACGGCCTGAGTCGAGGTTCGAACTCATACTAAAGTCGCATCCATCAGGCAGGAGCTGGACTACAGCCGCTCCAAAAGTCTTGCGGGTTTGCAATTCTATCAATATATAATAGTTTACAATTGAGAAATAGGCGTGTTGGCACTATCGGGGTATACTATTATCGCCACGATCAATTAGTATATCTACATATACTGATAGTACTGTTCATGTATATAGGCGTTTATTACCATTTACTATCAGGTGGTCCGACTTGTTTGCCATTACACTAAACTAATTTCTACCATCGCACCGCTCGGCATTGGTTTGGAATTCTTCCTCACTCTTGGGAACTTTATTAGCCAAGCGATAGTTCAATCCACAATATGCATATTGTGGATTGAACTAGCCTAATGGTGAGTGACCATTACAGGTTTCAGATTTTCTTCTCGTTTGTACTCATATTGTGGAATAGGCTACTTGACACTGCTGTTTGTCTAGGGTACTTCAGCATGGGGTTTTTCAAGAAGGGTATATTAATGTATTTTTAAAGGGACGGCAAACTTCACATATTTTACAGGTTTTTCAAGAAGGGTATATTATGGTTTCTTAAGAGACAGCAACGTGCACGTGATACTCTGGTATTTCAGGCGTCCTTTCATCAGACAGGCTTGATTGTCACCATGCGGTAAAAAAACAGCGGTTCCGGAAATTCTTGGATATCTATATCTTAATTATTTTACTAATTATTCTACATCCGTTAATTCATTGACCTGAGATTCACTGCGTGAACAATACATTAATACGTCAATATAATGGCGTTTTAAGTGTCCGATTCAGTAGTGTATATTAATATTAAAATGAGGATAGATTTGTTTGTTTGCATTGAATTGGCTATGGAACTACTGGACCGATTTGAAAAATTATTTTACCATTACAATTCTAGAAATACGAATCGGCTTGACAGATTTTTTTAAAATTTTATATGCATGTTGCCAGAATCGGCTACTATCTATTTTTCATACCCCTAAGCCTAAGTTATAAGGGTTGTACCCGTAAACATTATATTTTTTATTTATGATTAATTTTTTTTAATATATTTAAAAATATGTATTTTTTTTCACCCTAAATTTTTACCCTTCTAGCATCAACCCCTATTTTTTAATTTTTATTTATTTGACAAAAGAACATTTGCACGGTTCTCTAGTAGTATATATAAAATACGCTCAAATCAATCATCATGAATGTAAATGTTTATAGTTATTGTGTTAGGAATCGAACCCGCGACAATCGGAAGTAAAACAGTGTGATAAACAACTGCACCACCGAGGGTCTATTCTCATACAGAAGGAAGACGTTTGTTATTTAAATTTGCGTGACCAAGGTAGCGCAGTTCAGACGCATGTGACATACATAATTGGTAATTTAATTTACGTCCAGCAAGGAATTCGTCACATGCCAATGTCTAGGTATCTACATATATAAATATATATATGTTCATATGTAATCATGGAAATATCTGTGGAAGATCCCCAGTCTAAAACGATTTGCGTCAATTGCGTTCTAGTATGATGCACCCGTATATGCTAACAGTATACACCGATGGGGGTACTAGTGGTGGATGATAGGATGAGCATGAGAACAGGATAGTCTATTATGATCAATTCACCATTAATTAACAAAAACCAATTACAAACGCCCAGTGTGAAGCAATTTGCGTCAATTACGTTCTAGTATGATGCACCCGTCTATGCTAACAGCATACACCGACGGGTTACTAGTGGAGGATGATAGGATGAGCATGAGAACAGGATAGTCTATTATGATCAATTCACCAATAATTAACAAAAACAACCAATTGCAAACGCCCAGTGTGAAGCAATTTGCGTCAATTACGTTCTAGTATGATGCACCCGTCTATGCTAACAGCAAACACCGTTGGGGTACTAGTGGTGGATGATAGGACGAGTATAAGAACAGGATAACCCTTCGTGATCAGTTCACCAATAATTAACAAAAACAACCAATTGCAAACGCCCAGTGTGAAGCAATTTGCGTCAATTGCGTTTTAGTATGATGCACCCGCCTACGCCGACGAGGCACCAGTTGAAGATAATAAAATGAGTATAAGGTCAGGTCAGTTAGTTCATGCAAATCCAGGGGAACCGCGTGAAGGTCAACGTGACAGTCAAACAGACAGTACATTGCTAGCAATGGGGTTAGCCCACATTACTAACCACCCTCTGTACCCTAATTTATTACTATTGTTATATTGTATTCAGCAGAGCCGCTCCATTGATTCTTTCAAGAAAAGATTGCACACTATCTGCTGTTGAATTATTAGTTTAAACATTATTTTATATTATACTAGATACGCCAGCGGTTTCACCCGCGTTAAACTTCAATATAAAATATAGCCTATGTGTTATTCTGATGCGTAAGCTATATTACTGTAAAGTTTCAACAAAATCCGTTCAGTAGTTTTTGTGTGAAAGAATTACCAAGAAATAGAAAATCATTTATTCAAATAAACTTACATTGAAGCACTTTTGAATAGTCATAACATTTTTTTTTTTATCTACCGCTCATTCGGAATGCTGTCTCATCACAAGAAGAACAAGCAAGAAACTTGTGTGTTGCTCTTTAAATAATTTATTCTTACTTACAATTTAAGTTTAAGTGTGTGAATACAAACCACCGATTAGCACTAATTCAATTAAATACTCAAAAAGAAAAAAATATTGAATACATAACCAACTGGTTAAACAATTAATAAGAGGAAATCAGTCATGCCAAGATCCATCCATACTCACAAACTTTTGCGTTTATACCTAATATTATTATGATGTTTTATTATTTACGACCTCGCTGGTCTAGCGGTCTAGTACACCGCTTTACGACTGATGGTCGCGGGTTCGATTCCTCGCACGGCACAAACAATTGTATTCATGAGTATGATTGTTTGTATCGGTCTGGGTGTTTTCTATGTATAATATGTATGTATTTACAAAAAAAAAATCTATGTATATGTATCAGTTGTCTAGTACCCATAACACAAGTTTAAGCTAGGTTAACTTGGGTCTAGATGGCCTATTATTATATTATTATTATTCATCATCATCATCTGCTTCTTCCTTATCCCATTTATTTGGGGTCGGCGTAATATGTTTATTATTATAAATAATTATTATTATTATAAAAAAAATCTCGTTAATAAATAATAATAATAATAATAATAAACTTTATTCATAAATGCACGGTACAATTAAATATAGTTACAATTAAAATAATTATGATGTCAATCTATAAAAATGTATAATGATATACCACAGTACTAATTTAATAATTTTGTTACAGGCAATAACAAAAGACACACCAATGTCACCAACACCTCCCGCAGCGCCTGTCGCAGATACGGAGCGCACAGAGCTCCTCGGATCTCTAACGACGCAGCAGCAGCAAAGAACCAGCGCGAGGGTCATCAAGAAGTTAAGACTCGAGCCACCCACTGATAGGGAGAAGAAAGGGAAACGACCTGATGGGCAGACGGACGGTAAGATTTTTAGCTTTTAGATAATCTTTCTCTGCATTTATTGACTGAAATAACTTAGGACATGCCATATATGTAATAAAATTAAATTACACACACACACTAGAAGTAACTGATGGTTTGTTAAGTTAATACCTATTTTTCTTGTTTTCGGTCAATTGTAATTCCGATAATTGTAAATTGTAAGCGGAGTCTTACAATTTACAATTACTGGATACATTACACCTTTTGGAATTAGAACTGGTACCTAAAATGCAGGTTTCTACTTAATTCATGTACCAGGGAAAAATGTAAAATGTAAATATTCGATGGAAAATATATTCTTATTATTATTTATACCATAATTTATCTTATAAGGCCTCATATTACCAGTTTGCAAACATCTCTTACAGATATGACTGAATGCGAAACACCAAACAAAGTAGACGACAAAGATCCGCTAAAATTCCCAACTGCAGTGAAACAGCGGATGCCCAAAGCACTTTGGTCCACAGACGAGAAGAGCCTTTTCTTCGAAGCCTTGAACGAGTACGGGAAGGATTTCGATGCAATCACCGCATACATATGCGCCAAAATGAAAAAGAAGGGCATGTCGGAGAATCTCAAGACGAAGACTCAAGTCAGCCACTTCTATTACAGGACGTGGCATAAGCTGTCTAAACACGTACATTTTGACGAGAGTAAGTTATAGCTATATGCTAAATATATTTTTTACTTGCTGTTGCCGCGACTTCGTCCGCGTCGAATTTAACTTTATTATTCTAAAAAAAATTTTGTCTAAAATAAAATTTGCCTAAGTTACTCCTTATTACATCAGCTACCTACCAAAAAATCCCCATCAAAATCGGTCCAGCCATTTCAGAGATTAGCCGGAACAAACAGACCGACAGACAGACAGACAAAAATTGTAAAAAATGTTATTTTGGTATATGTACCGTATTTATATTCGTATGCATGTAGTAAAAAACGGTTATTTCAATATTACAAACAGACACTCCATTTTTATTTATATGTATAGATGGTGGGAAACAAGTATACGGCCCACCTGGTGTTAAACGGTTACCGTAGCCTATGGACGCCTGAAACACCAGGGCATGTGCGCGTTGCTTTACAGACCTTATATTCATACCTATGGTAAATGAATACACTTACACCACAATTATACTCCATCCACTAAACCGCTACTCTATCGAAGCCTTCAAATAAAAGAAAACCAAACTAAAAATTAAAGATAAAATAAGTAGTACATTATTTTACAATTATAGTCACCTGTTATTATCTGCTGTGGCCGCGTTTCACGCGGATGACATTATAGTTTACTAGCTGTCCTGCGCAACTTCATTTGCATCACACTTACTTGTCACCCCTCCGATCGATCCCCCGTCCAATTCAAACGGGGATCGATATTACGATGGCCTGAGCCGAGGTTCAAAACCCTAGCGGTGCCCTCAGACTAAAGTCGTATCCGTCAGGCAGGAGTTGGCCTTCAGCCGCTCCATAAGTCCTTCCGCGGGTTTGGAGTGCCATCTGCACTCGCCCCCTAACGTCCGGTGAAGCTGTAAAGGCCAGCTGCGGCCAACAGCATTAGAGTAGTCCTAAAAAAACTTACTTGACATTTACCATTATATTTAGCCCTATTTACATAATATAGTATTAAATTATAGTCTATGTATTATTCTGATATTTAAGCTATATTACTGTAGTTTCATCAACATTCGTTCAGTAGTTTATGCGTGAAAGAGTAACAAACATCCATCGATACTCACAAACTTTCGCGTTTATAATATTAGTAAGATGTGTTATTCTGATGTATGATCTATATTACCGTAATTTCATCAATAACCGTTCAGTAGCTTTTGCGTGAAAGAATAAAAAACATCCATCCATATTTTATAATTACATATAGTACATCCATGTTTAATATTATATCTGTGCTGATCATATAAATAAATCTTTTATCTATCTATATTAAGATATTATATTATATAATTATTATTAGATAACAACTTGTATAGTAATAGGAAAAGGCAACGCAATGATGATAAAAGTTGTATATGTGTAGCTAGTTAGATATACAAGTTGTATAGCTCCGGCTTCACATAGGTATACATATATTATATATATAAACCTTCCTCTTGAATCACTCGATCTATTGCTAAAACTGCATTAAAATCAGTTGCGTAATTTAAAAGATCTAATTTTATACTATGTAAACATAATAAATCGACCTTACGCTCAGCAACTGCAATACACGATTAATAATAATCACTGAACCATGGGTCATTTTAAAAATGATATTCATTAGGTAATGTATGGGTATCATTATATGAAATTTAATCTGTTATCTTGCCGTTATCAATTTAATGTAATTATTGCTTATATATGTACAATAATACTTGTACAGTAATGTTTGGTATTTCCTGTTGTATATATGCAATGAGACTGTAATTGATTGTTGAATGAACTACCTGCCGAGGTTTTGTTATGGGATTACAGCATGTGGTTTTTCAAAACGGGTATATTAGGGTTTCGTAATGATTGGCAACGCGCACGTATCACCCATGGTGTCTCAAGCGTTGATAGGTTACGATAACCATTAACCATCAGATGGGCCGTATGTTTGTTTGCCGTAGTAGTATAAAAAAATATTTCTTTAATTGAAAATAATGTTATTATGTAATATATATATTAAACCATTAAAACTGAAGGACCTTTCAATAACTGTCACTATACAAATAATAAAAACAGAATACAGATGAATATAGAAATTATATTCAAAAGTAAACGTATTCACCAGTGTTGTACTTGTTTATTCTCAGAGGATATACATATACGGCATTCCTATCTATGTACTAGATGTCCCAACAAACATAACGCTACAAAAAAATAGGGGCTGGTGATAGAAGGGTGAAAATTTTGGGTTGTATGTATTTTTTAATGACACATAATAAAATAATAGAAATAAAATTTTACCCAAAAATAAAAAAATAATGTTAGGGGTGGACAACCCTGATCACTTAAGAGTATGAAAATTAGTTAGTAGCCGATTCTCAGACTTACTGAATATGCATATAAAATTTCATAAAAATCGGTCAAGCCATTTCAGAGTATGGTAACTAACATTGTGACACGAAAATTTTATATATAAGATAAAACTTCAGAATTCAGAACTATAAGTATTCTGAATTTTTTCACATTCTAGCGCTACATAGTAAGTTTTGACTTATTTAACTTATAATATGAGTTTCAGTTCTGGATTTTTTCAAACAAATCTAACATTTTATAAATATCAAACTTTTATGTGAATAATGCAAACTGCACATTTTCAAGACGAATACAAAGTAAATCAGTAGTATTTCCATACAAAAAATATATTCGTTACACAGTAAATAATGTTAATATCTTAGGACAATTCACATAGCGCCATCTATAATAGTTCCAAGTCAAGCAGTGCTTGTGTTGTGGGTACTAGACAACTAATATACTAATAATAATCATACCCCTGGACAGTGGACACAACGCTATTTAGTCCGAACGTAAGCAGAGCTTGTGTTATGGGTACTAGATAACTGATATACATACTTAGATACATTATTTTTGTAAATACACAAATAATAAACACGCGGGGATGTATCAAAGCCAAGTTCAAGTAAGAGAACAAGCGAGCAGCACCGTGTGTAGTTTTACATATACATTTACAACACCCAGACCGATACAAACAATCATAAACTTGAATACAAATGTTTGTATCGTCCGAGGAATCGAATGTGCGATCATCGGAAGTATAGCGGTGTGTTAAGAAACACCACCGAGGCAGTCATAATAGTCAATGTTCCTGTAAACTTATAATTGTTTTCTTGGCATATGTATTCAGACTGTTGTGACGGCTTGCAGATGTGAAAAAAGTGGTGCAAGAGTTATACGCGCTGATCAACTACGGTGAACTACGAAAGAAGCTGGTATCGGTGAGCGAAAAGACATGCGCGCGTCTCGGCGAGATGGTGCGTACTGGCGGGCTCGCACTGCGCGTGCGCGGCCGCACGCTACGACTACGCACACCCATGTGTCGCGCGCTCCGACGGCTCAACCAGATCAATGGTCGGTGCAGCTTTTTTTTATAGCATACTAGCTACTCGCCTCGGCTTCGCCCGGGTGTACATGTATTATACATACAAACCTTCCTTTTGAATCACTCTATCTATTAAAAAAAACCGCATCAAAATTCGTTGCGTAGTTTTAAAGATTTAAGCATACATAGGGACGGATAGCGACAGCGACTTTATTTTATATTATGTAATGTTGATGATGGGACAAACGAACTTGATGGTAAGGGATTACCGCCGACTGAGTACCCGTAACACGAGGTTATATCATATTCCTTCTTAAAAGACCAACAATGCATTTGACTTTGACACATTGACACTATACACAAGAGCGTTGTCGCCCTTTTAGGAATGAATATTCAAACATTACAACGTAAAAATGTTTAACACGCACTTTTCTTGCTCGTTCTTTTTGTGATGAGACAGCTTTCCCAATAATTAAAACAAATAAAATGATTATTCTAAAGTACTTAAATTTAAGTTTATTAGAAAATTATTTTATAAGTAATATCTCGTAAGCTCTACTTGAAAGTTTCAATAACGTATCTGTTCGGAAATGCCGTTGCTGGAAGGTGATTCCTCAATGTGGATGGCAAATGTTAAATGGTCGTATGGTGACGTGCATGGTCCGCAGAGCGTGCGTGCGGTGCAAGACTGTACCCGCACCAATGTGGTTGCGAGTGTCTAAAAGTTTATTGAAAAACGCCATTCGTCCAGATGATCAGGATTGTGGTTGAGTGACGGACGGAAAGTGTCACGCTCATGAGTCTGTATGTGTATGAATGGGATGTTATTTGAGTGGTGAACAGACAGAACGTCTGTACCCGTGCTACGAGCTCCAAGACATGTAACTAGGTGAGAATGTTCCGTGTGGTCGGCAGAGCGAGCGTGTGGTGCGCGACTGTGTCCGCGCGTGGCGGCAGTGCTACGCGCGCGATCAGGTAGCGCGTGGGCGCGCGTGCAGGCTGCCGCACACAATCCTCGTGCTGCACTGGCCGCTCCCCCGCGCGCACGATTGCGGGCGTTGCTGCGCGCGCTCGAACTACGCTGGACGCCGCATGTATCCTTAACAACACTTTACGCAACTAGAACCACAAGCAGCATCTTATGAATTGACGACTGTAGTTCATCGCATCATTAGTCTTTATACAATGTTAGGATAACACTTTTTTTATGTAACTACAATCATAACATCACAAGCGACATGTTGTAACGAGACGCCAGTAGCTCAACGTGCATAGTGCTTTTTATGCAAGGCTCGGGTATCCCGACATGAAAAGGTAAACAGGGAGAGATATAAATATATATATTAAAATAATAAGGGAATTTCTAATCATAAGGAAATCCCTTTTGCGGCTAAACTGAAAAGAAACCATTCAAATAACCAAAAATCTCCTTCGAGAGAACCTCTCGAACATACCCAGACATACCCTAACCTACATTTCTATATTTCATTTATAAAATTATAATATTAAGTAAAGTTGGATATGACTCGCGTCAGATACATTACTATCTTTGTAATCTTAACTCGAGAACAGTCATATTACACACCTGTGAAGAATGCGGATGGAATAGACCTAAAATACCCAGAAGATATGAAAGATGATGAAGTTTGCGCAGAGTTACGGCACACGTGCGCGGATGATGACGATCGTCAGGACTTGGTAGATCATCTCAATTTGGAAACTGACAGAATGATAGTACAAGGTAACTATAGTTTACTCATGACGTGTCTGCACGATCTTTCATCCCCTATTTCACCCCTTCCAGATTCTTTTTTGAGATTGTATTAAGAGATATATTACGAGAATAAATAAAGGATACCTTTTACCTATGTTTATTCTCGTAATGTAATCTATAGATTTTCAATTGTTTTTAAAGAAACCGGAGAAATATCTAAAAATATTGAATATGGCAACACTGGCTAAAAAGTCACTCCTACTCACTAAGCTATTATGCTTAGTGATTAGGAGTGGCAACTGGTGAGGGCTATCTATTTTTAATTAATTAGTTTATTTATATTGAAGATATAATTGTATTTATCCTTATATAATCTTTATATGCGATGTATGTACATCGCATATAAAGTAACAATTTTCTATCCGGAGGGCCATCAGTTTGTTGTAATGTCTAGCATGTGGTATCTATATGGTAACCTGAAAAATATAGGATTAAAACTATTATTGGGGCATGTAATTTAATAAGTGGTCTGTGCGTTAGTGCGCCCTAATCATGGTGCACTTATCACTAATGTGTTTTTTTTTATTTTTATGGATGATAATGGAATGGTGCAATCGCCTGCGCTAACGGTTTACACTGGCATGGCACCAGTGGAGGATGATAAGATGAGCATGAGATCAGGTCAGTTAACCCATCGTGATATATTCACCAAGAATTTATCATGATGGTTTCTAGGGAGAACCGCGTGGAGGTCAACCTGACATGGTACATTGCTAGCAATGGGGTCAACAGCCCACATTACTAAGAACCCCTTCCCCACATCACTAATGTGTTAGGGTAGGTTAGGTAAATCTTCACTTAAAATTTTGTGTTTGTTTCATTTAAATCAGTTTACGAACAAGTAAGAAATTACAAGCTCAGCTACTTACAAATATTACTTTAAATTTAGTTTAGTTAAAAATGTTAGGTAAGATAGTGTAAATTTTACAGAACAAAAATTACCAAAAAAGCCAGTTTTACACTTGGGTCCCAGACCGGACGCAGAGATCCACTTGCCAGTAGTCAGTCCGAGTGTTCAGCTATCAAGCCAGAAGATTTGTTTCTCATCATACTTGGAACGGATGTGCAAGCAGCGACGCGATAAGGATGGAAATGGTGGTAAGTATAGATTTAGTTTCTTACTACTATATTTATAGTTATACTCTTTTCCAAAAAATGACTGGGACAGATTCCGTTTGCAATAAAACCCTTTTGGACTTCCTTTTATCTTCAACTTTTGTTTTTTTTTTCTATCTCCTTTGTTGTGTTGGCAATAAAGTACTATCAATAAATGTAATACACCCATATATCTGCCTAATTTCATTTTATACGTATAATTAGTAAAAATCACGGGATCTTACCACGTTTTATACCACCATGATTACGGGTAAACTGTTTACCCGTGATCATGGTGGTTGAAACTCTACCGAAATATCGGGAACTCAGCAAATAAATATAAAACGTGGTAAGATCCCGTGATTTTTACTAATTATACGTATAAATAATGACCGCGTCAAGCTTAAAACAGTACATAATTTCATTTTGTTTATAATTTAAACAGCAAAAATCAGAACATCTAAACGACAAAGGAAAGATAGTGCTACAGATAAAGAAGGGGATGTAAAGAAAATTAAAATTGAGGAGGAATCAAACAAACTCATGCATATTGATGAAACTGCTATCGACGGAATAGACCTTATGGCTAGTTATAAGAACATACAGGAGGAAGAAGAGAAGCCAAGTACAGAAGATGAGAAAGAACTCAAATCAGAGGAGACGGCAGAAGAAGAGGTGGAAGGGAGTAGAGAGTTGCCAGAAAAAGACAAATATATGTCTGAGAAAGAGAAAGATAGCTTTTCAGAGATGGAAGATGACGAGAAGTATAATAAGAGTGATACAGACAATGAGAGTGATCAGGGGAAAACTGAAAAGAGTAGGAAGGAGCAGAAATTTAAGAATTTGAAGGTGAGGTCTAATCATAGGTTTATTAACATGTTGAAGCTGATTCTTTATTTTAATTTCCTTCATATAGAAGAGAGTCAAATTTTTTCTAGTTATATTTGTGATAATCTTCGTTCGTCGTTAATGGGTTGTTAAAATTGCTAGCCCCGTTATATTGCAGGCGTGAATTCTGGTAAAAACATACTACATATTAATCAAGAATTTCATCTATCTTTGAACAAATTTCATTAAAATACGTCAAGTATACAAGCTCGTAATAAGTACTAAGTACTTATTTTAAAAATTATGTCTTTACTCCATAGGTAAGTGACGGGCTCGGTTGTCCAGCGGTTAGCACACCGCGTTACTTCCGATGGTCGCGGGTTCAATTCCTCGCACGGCATAAACATTTTGTATTCCTGAGTATGATTATTTGTATCGGTCTGGGTGTTTTATAAATATGTATTTACTGTAAAAAATATATTTATGTATTTGTATCAATTATCTAATACCCATAACGAGCTTTAGCTAACTTAACTTGAGTCAAGATGGCGTTGTGAGAATTGTCCTGAGATTATTATTATTATTGTAGGTAAAGTTCCGAATACGACCGAAAAAACGTGGTGGTACTATTTACACCCTTGTGGTGGATAAAGAAGATCAAGACCAAGCGCCCCCTAAGGATGAAGAGCCCAAGACGGATGTTGACGTGGACACAGCAATTCGCCAGATTAGGAAAGGCTGGAGTGTGTACGACGCTGGTGACCTTACCATAGGAGATTTGTACCTAATGGTAAGAGAATATCTCTGAGGTAGACTTTCTACTAGTCGTGCATGGATACCTCAGCTTTATCTGTTTCTGCCGCTGTGGAGCTTTTTTGTACGCTGTGGTTGTAGGGTGAATTGAGGCAGAGAAATTACAAGTTTCGTAGGCATGTTACCTTAGTTCTCCGAAATGGCAAAGCCAGTTGTACACCCACAGGCGATACATGACCACCTCGTTGCTGGTTTCGTAACGTCTTTTTATTCTCTCACTGTCTTATTGATTTGTTTGAGTCTGTGTGTTAACATCTTTCAGTTTGGTTCCCGTTCAAGACTAGAATTAGACTATTGGTGGGCGGAACCCACCCCGCCCCTGCCACAGCCGCTCCACAAGTCCAAGTCCGATCCGGTCCCTCCTGTCACTGAGAAAGAGAAACAAAAAGTGGAGAAAACTCCAGACAAAGGCACAGATAGCTCGGTGGAAGATGAAAGAGATAGAGCGAGGGAAAGTGACAACGATATATTGTCACCAAAAAATACTTTTAGTCAGGACAGTAATGACGGCATGTCTGGGGATGAAAGGAAAAGTGAGTATATAATTATTTTCTGTCAATCTATATTATAGCTAGTCGACCCCATAAACATTGTTTTACCATATAAATTAAAAGCACTATTAAAAAAAATAAGGTTTTTACTAGAAGTGTGAAAATTTAGGGTTGTATGTATTTTTAATACCACATTATGAAAAAATAAAAACAAATGTCCGGGGACCACCCTCATCACTTAGGACTATGGAAAATAGATAGTGGCCGATTCTCAGACCTATTGAATGTGCATGTTTCATAAAAATCGGTCAATCTGTTTAGGATGTTTATGGTAACTATCATTGTAAAATGACAATTTTATACTCGTATATGAGATAAACTTCCTAAGGTATTTTGTCTGTGCATAACAAAAATTTCTATGGGAGGAGATATATTTCTTGTATATTGTTATCAGGTGAACAGCTGGCGTCCCCAGAACACAAGTTATCATCGAGCGGATGTAGTAGCACTCTCAAGTTAGTCAGCAAATTGATCAATCGCCCACTGTCGGCGCAGCCGCCACCTAACAACGGCTTCTCACAACTTAGTGACAGGTACGAAGTCGTGACGCACAATAGCAGATACTATTAGTGTTGGTGTTAATAACCGATTTTAAAGGAAGTTATATGTTCCAAAACTATATTTATTCATTGGCTATAAGTGTCAGCTATATTATTAAGTTTATTATAGTCTGTTTTTATTAAATACTAGATGATCCCTAGGTCGTTTGTAATTAAAACACAATTACTTGACATTTATCATTATATTGCGCTCAAATTAGATCATAATTTATTATATCATAGCCTGTGTGTTATTCTGCTGTATAGGCTATATTACTGTAAAGTTTCTTCAAAATCCGTTCAGTAGTTTATGCGTGAAAGAGTAACAGAAGTCCATCTATATTCACAAACTTTCGCGTTTATCTCGTATTACTAAGTTTACATGTTTCTCTCCTTGTCCAGCCAAATATTATTTACTTGTCAGGTTGAAGCGGCTGTTGGCGCTGGCAGGTAACTCGATGGTGACTGCGGTGGGCGCGGGCGGGGCGGCGGCGGCGGCGGCGGGGGGCGCGGGGGCGGCGGGCCGGTGCACGTGCTCGCTGTCCTGCGCACTGCACCGTCGACAGGCCAGTACTCTCTTGTACTTGTATTACCTGCCTAAAAAAAGGCTTAAGCCCAGTTCTCGAGTGTTATTGTCGGCGCAAAGGGTTTGCCCCTGAGGGGCTCAAACCCCTCTCTTTTTTTGACTTGGAGAAAATCCCTCATGGAGACCAGTCCGCCCCGGGGGACTCGAGCGGGTAGCTCCTACTCACTAAAAACTCAAAGACGTCCCTCGTCCAGCGCTATGTGCCGAAGTCGCAGGATCGGAACAGTCCATCGCGACTCCGACGGTGATAGCCCACTCTTCTATCGGGCCCCATCTCTGCGTGTTCTTCCCTGAGGAAGACGCACGGGGACATGCGGAAGGCCAACCTCCCTATATAAGCACGGATGACTCGTGTCATATCAATACTCCCTTATTTACATAAATGACGAGGTTTTTTTCATTGAGGGGTTTGGAATATTATCAGGTGCTTAGACCTGTAGCGCTAATTTACGGGGTAATTTTTTTTAGTTCTATTTATTTATTTAATAATGCATATTATATTACCATTTATCATATATTTGAAATTAAATTTGAAAATATAAATGTATAAATAAACTTACAGAAACAACAGCCGTGGGCGCCGTCATCTCGTCTGGAAGAGACTACTCCAACTACAGCTGTGTTCAGGCATCCAACACCAATAGCGCCTCGGCAGGACAAGGAGGTAATAGTTATTTTTAAACTTTCATGTTTAATATGCATTATGTATGTGATTTATGAATTATCTTCTGCGTGGAATGCAGTCATAAATTAATTCAAGCAAATTTCAGTAGCATCAACAGTCAATAAGTGTACGGATACCGTGAGTGCTGTGTGTCGCGAACTTTCGTTGAACAATCTAGTGCTGGCACCTATCTATATTGACACCGCTGTTATTCCAGTCATCTCGTGACAACAGATAGTATTATTTTCTCTTGTTTATGTTTGTCAGATGTCAACATCCACATTGAACCTGGAGGGAGTGCCTCGATGGAGACGCGGACGGCCGCGACTTGCTGACCGTCGTGTGGTAGTTCAACGACTACTACCGCTGTTGCCTAAGTTGCCTCCACCCAGCAGTTAGTACTTTTTTTTTATTTAATTATAATGGCAAAGGAAAAGTTGTTACCGTCAAGTAAATATGTACACATCACGAACGAGGATTAAGGCGTCATGCCTCATTACCTTGTAATTTATCTGCCATATCTTTAAAAGAACGAAAGAAAATATTGTTTTATAAAGATAATAGTAATATAAATAAATAAAAATATACCTAAAACTTATTTGACCTGGGAACACTGTCTGTAAATTTTAAGTACTTTCTATTTTTATCTGTTGTGAAGATATGATGTTTTTGTATTATTTTATGTTCCTTATATATATATAATCATGGTGTTATATTTCTAATTTTTAGACCTGATACCAGTAAAAATTGTGCCCAATTCACCACCGGCGCCGCCTCGAATACTGCCGAAGCCGCCACCCACCTCAACTTCAGAGTAAGAAATGTTACAATACTTTCCTTTTGAATAGAATTAGAGATAGAAATAATTACTCAAATACACAACACGGTTATTTATTATTATACACATATTTGAAATTATATTGACAAATATCTTAAAACCGTAATTCTGAACTACATTCATTTAAACATTAATCAATTATTGGATAAATTCGAGATGAACGTAATAGCAGCGTGCCCAACGGTTGATTGCACAAATCAGACTACGTAATTACAAATTGTAATATCGCTAATAAACCTAACGTAGGTTATAAAAAGAGAAGTATTTACTACATTTACTTACTTCAGTGCTCCCCACAGTAAATACTTGACCCATTTTAAATTCTGAATTTCTGGTCTTTAAAGTTGATATTATTATAAATAGTAAGAATATTTTGTCCACAGTTTATCATTCTTCTACGTATTAAGTGAATCGAATGGTCAGTTCTATTTCCACGATGGTGACCGTCGGATACCAATAACACCACTGCAGGGTAACGGCGCTGACCAACACGGCGATGACGGTAAAGTATCATCATTACATAGTATAAAACAAAGTCGCTATCGCTGTCTGTCCGTCCCTATGTATGCTTAAATCTTTAAAACTACGCAACGGATTTTGATGCGGTTATTTTAATAGATAGAGTGATTCAAGAGGAAGGTTTATATATAATACATGTACTCCCGTGCGAAGCCGGGGCGAGAAGCTAGTATATAAATAAGTAAACGTGTAAGAGCGTCGTGGTCCAGTGGTTTACACTCAAATTTAGACCTAGAATAGAAAATCATTTATTCAAATAAACTTAATTTAAGCACTTTTGAATAGTCATAACAATTTGTTTATCCCACTATTTCGGGCTTCTCATCACAAGAAGAACGGCAAGAAATCAATATTGATATTAGTCTCTTTTAAATAATCCTTGTAAGCATTTAAAGTCGAAACGTGTGAATACAAACTACCAACAAGCACTAATTTTTGGATCAAATTAATCATCTCAATAAGAAAATCAGTCGTTATAAAGCAGATTAACAAGCAGCATATTTCACGATTTAAATACGTAATAGAATATTTTGTGATTGACCCGGCCCACCACGCCGCCATAATTGGACATTTTAGTGAGCATGACTACAACACGACCACGTCATTTATATTATTATACACATATTCGACTTTACAACATGCATGCGGCAATCAATATAAATACGCTATCATATATCAACAGTCATGCAGTATAAAATTAAAATTATAACGTTGTCCGGGTCAACTAAACTTATTCTTTATATATTGCTACATTAATCATCTATCTTATAATAGGCTTTTTTACATAACATTTGTTTAATATAAGATTTGAATTGCCTCTCTGTAAGATTTAGTAGCTCTGGCAGTTTATTATAAACATTTACGCAAACCGTATTACCATAAAATGAATTACTAACTTTGTACAACGTTATTTAGGTAATATTAAAGCTATTTTTATTTCATTTTAGATGAAAACGTGAACAGTCTTTAAAAAAACTATCTAAGTCAAGTTCCTACAGAAGACATAATACTTCATAAATGTACTGTGAGGCAACAGTGAGGATATTTGATTGTTTAAAGCATTGACGAATTCTCTAGATATACCATAAATAGAATTTCTCTTTTGTAAAATAAATATAGTATTTATATCGGCAGTTAGCATATGCCATATGACAAAATGCTATGGAAATAACTAAAATATATTTTGCCGTCCCACAGTCTGTTAATTGCATCCTTCTAATTGCATAAGCAGCAGAACTAAGTCTACTGGCTAATTTTGAAATATGGGGCCCCCATTGTAACTTCGAGTCCACTGTTATTCCCAAAAAAACTGTATCATTAACAAAATTTACTATTTCATCATTAAGCAATAGCTGCGTATTTACTTGTTTTACATTAGGCAGCGTGAATTTAATGCACTTATTATTGTTGAGTTCAATAACAGATATTTATTTGAAAATTTAGTATAGCAGAGATAGCATAATTTACATCGTCTAATTGATTACATTGGCGACCAATAAAACACTAACGAAGTATCATCCGTCCCTGCAATTTCTCTACCATGTAAAGGTCATTTATATAAATTAAAAAGAGAAATGGGCTATTGAACCTTGAGGAACGCCCATTTTTATATTAGTTCCCATGGTTTACGCCATTTATTACATTTGTATCCTAATAAGTTTTCATTTACTTATTCATTATTCTAATACCAAATATTTAAGTTTATATAAGTGTTTCATGATCTACGCAATCAAGCGCCTTCGACAAGTCAAAAAAAACGCCGAGAGCATCCTGTGAGTTTTCCCATGATTCGAATATATGTGTAATAAGCGCTACACCTGCATCAGTAGTAGACTTGCCGGCAGTGAAACCATATTGCTGACTGTGAAGCAGTCGTTATCCCTAGTATCCAACATTTGGTTAAACATAATCTTTTCAAATACTTTACTTAGAACTGGCAAAATAGAAATTGGTCTATAAATACCTAGAAAATATCTCCAGATTTAAAAACAGTCATTAATTTGCTAAATTTCATTAATTGAGGAAACACGCCATTATCAACACATTTATTGAAAATAGTAGCTAGATAAGGAGCAACAATATCTATGAATGAACTCGTAATTTAACTGACATGTCCCAGAGATCTTCCGTATTTTTTAAATTTAACTGTTTGAATTTTTTATGACATGAAAAGGGCTGACATGTGAAAATTTGATGTTAAAGAGCAAGGGCTAGACATTAGCCTCGCTGATAATGTTTTTGCTCGATTTGGAGATGAGTCTAGAGAATATTTAATATCAATCGGAATATTAGCAAAAAAATCTTGAATAATTTGAACTCTATCTTTTGTTGCTGTTATTAACTAATTGTTCATAATTTATGAGAATTGATTGCATCTTTTTCAGACCGTCCAGTTTCTTTGTTTATAATTCATGGTCTTAATTTATGTCGCAGACGACTGATTAATTTGTTTATTTAAAAATAGATTTAGTGCAATACAAACTTGTTTGAAAATTTTAGAGTAATTTCTCACATAAGTCGATTTGTCATGTCAATCTATATTTTTTTGCGTGATCATATAAATCAAATAAAATGTTTCTACTTTTTAGCAGTATTCCTACTGTTGCCATTCTGTAAATTTAGATTTAACACAATATTCTCTTTTCTTGAAAATAATCTGGTATTCTTTTGACAAAAGACTAATTAACTTGGTGTAAAGAATATCAAATTATTAAGACTACAGATTGTAACTCTAAGTCATTTATATTTTACTGTGCTTTTGTGTTTATTAATATTGTAAGCATTTATTTGTCTTTATCTTTTATTATTGGTATTTTTTTTATCTGATTACTAAACTTAACAACTTGACCACAGTGATCCGATTATGAAGTTTATTTATTATTAATTTTTCAATATACTCACAGTTAAAAAAAACATTGTCAAGACAAGTAGCAGTCGTATTTACACGAGTTTCCTTAAAGACATTACTCAAATGACTGAAATAAACTAATGTGTTTTTGTACATGTGGGTGTATCACAAAGAATATCAACGTTAAAATCAACACACAATGATTTTTTTACTGCTATTAAATACTTTTTTAAAATATATCCTCCATCACCTCTTCAAATACATTATAATCACTATTAGGAGGCCTACACATATAAGTATATAATTATCTAGTTCTATACATGAATTTCTGTACAACACTCAATAGAAAGTCTAACAATGTCAGCACGTTCCTTTACTTTAATATTATTTCTTGCAATTATCATAGACCCACCTCTGTTAACTGACTTTCTATTGAAGAGGTTACGACAACATTATAATTATTTAAACTAACATCATATTATTTCTTTATAATGTTCAGTGAAACAGATAATGTCAATCTTGTATTTTCCAAAAATAATTGTATAATTAATTCACTGCCGGCGAAAACTTTGTATGTTCTGATGAACAATTACCAATTCTAATTGCTTTCCCTTTGTCTTTGTTAGCAGTTTAAATCTGCAGTCAAATTACTTATATCACTATTTAAAAAAAATAACGAACCTAAGTTTAGACCTAATATGTATATCCTAATGGGTCAATTTACTGACTAACTATCTCTTAGAGTATCCAGTATTTTCCGGTTAAACTGAATTAGATTGAAATCAATATTGATATTAGTCTCTAGAGAATAACTGCCGGAAATCGCTAATAAACTCATATCGATTTATTTGTTACTGCTACGCGCTGTGATAATTGTCCAGGATTATGATTATTGTCTCTCAATAGAGAAACTCATTATAAATTTATTAACGACATATTGTAATTTAAATATTGTAATAGGTGAAAACTGTGATCGTGTGAACACATTGACCCGGCCCACCACACCGCCATAAGTTAGAACCATAAGTTATAACGAGCATGACTGTTTCAAGTAACTCTACTACGTCATTTATATTATTTACAGCATAGACTGTACATGTTGTAAATAATATAAATGACGTAGTAGAGTTACTTGAAACAGTAACAGTAAGTACTTGTAACAGTGACGTAGTAGAGGTACTTATATTATTTACAGCATAGACTGTATATGCTGTAAATAATATAAATGACGTAGTAGAGTTACTTGAAACAGTCATGCTCGTTATAAAGTTCTAACTTATGGCGGTATGGTGGGCCGGGTCAATGTGTTCCCTCTAATATGGTTGAGTACAATGATGGCTGGCTCATCCGTCATACTCGTAAACGGTACTGGTCTGTTAGGGTTACGAACACTGTTTCTACTATTTGCCTTTGAATAAATTTTTATAGCTAATGCTCTCCATTGTCCCATTTACTTTATTCTAAACATTTACTTTACTTTATTGTAAACCGTATTTGAAAAGAATACGAACTGAGTTTCAGTCAGTTCTTCTCATCTCGAAAGCATTCTGAACTGACGGTAGAATTGACATCATAAGAGTCCGTAATAGACCAACATGAATAAAGATATTTTGATTTGATTTTAGATGAAAACGTGAAAGATGAACAAGAATCAAAGGATAGTAAATCAAGTATCACTATAGAAGAACATGAACTACTATCACCTAAAGCGTCGGTCAAGGACAGCAGCGAGACAGTCGTGTCGACAAAGTCAGAGAATTCAGATATTGGACGTAAGTAGACATTTTTTTATGTAATCAAAATGGACCAACTATCTATAATGCCCCAGCTGATTAGCAATAGCATATGCTCGTGGTCACTCTGTTCTACCAAATTTGAATTTAAAAATGATCTGTATTATTGTAAACATACACAATATTTATTTGAAAAGAATACGGACTGAGTTCATGTCAATTCTTCTCATCTCGAAATAATTCCGAACTGAAGGTAGATTTGACATATCATAAGAGTCTGTAATAAATCTACATGAATAAAGATATTTTGAATTTTTAATTATAATAGTAGCTTACATTATGGCATAGCTGGTCTAGCAGTTTAGCACACTGCCTTACTTCCCATGGTCGCGGGTTTGATTAATTTGTATTAATAAGTATGATTATTTATTATTATATATTTAAAAACGGGTATGTAAGTTTTTATATCAGTTGTCTAGTACCCATAACACAAAGTTTCTCTTGCTTGAGACTAGATGGCGCTGTATGAATTGTCCTGGATCATTAATTGTGGTACCGAATATGTAGGTGGTGCTTATATGTATTGCTGAGAGGAGTCTCAGCAATACATATAATAATAATAATCTCAGGACAATTTACATTTATTCTAGATCCAAGTTAAGCTAGCTAAAGTTTGTGTTTTGCGTACTAGATAACTGATACAAATACATAGATTCTTTTTCGTAAATACATAGAAAATACCCAGAACGATACAAACAGTCATACTCATGAATACAAATGTTTGTGCCGTGCGAGGAATCGTACCCGCGACCATCGGACGTAAAGCGGTGAGCTAGACCGCTAGACCACCGAGGTCGTCAATATAGGATAATTTTTTTTGTCTTTCTCTTGTGAATTAGTGCTATTTGGTAGTTTGTATTTTTTATGTTGTTAATGAAATGGTGCACCCGCATGCGCTAACGGTTTGATGAGAATGAGGTCAGGTCAGTTAGCCCATCGTGATAAATTCATGTGGAATTTATCACGATGGTTTCCAGGGGGAATGTACCAAAATACCAATGTACCATGTCAGGTTGAACTCCACGCGGTTCCCCCTGGAAACCATCGTAGTAAATTCTTAGTGAATTTATCACGATGGGCTAACTGACCTGACCTTATGCTCATCTCATCATCCTCCATTGATGCACCGTTAGCGCAGACGAATGAATCATTCCATTATCATAAAAAAATACATAAACTTAATATTTATACGTTTTTGTTTAGATTTCTTACCCTCGGAGTCGATGTCACTGTCACCGTCCAGGTTGCTGCGTGATGCTGATGGCTGGCTTGAAGGTTCAGTTCAGGACTTCTCCCTTAGCAGTTTCCTTGGACATTTAGAAGGAAGACCGCAGCCCGACCTCGCTGTTAGTAATGCTTTCATTTAATTATTCAAACACCGCACAAATATGAATATTTATATTCATTTCTTTAACTAGATTTTTTTATACTACGTTGGTTGCAAACAAGCTTACGGCCCATCTGATGGTAAATGGTGCGTATGGACGCCTGAGATATCACACCTTGTTAACTAGATTCTGTTCCACAGTTCTGTGATTATGATAGTGATTGATTGATTGATTGATGTGGGGTTTTATTAAAAAAACCGCCTTGATTGAATGCTACTCGATTGACTGATTTTATTGTTAAAGAAATGTATTGAGGTGAAATTGCATGTGTCGGCGATTGTGTAAGCAAGGCATGTGCGGTTACCCGGTGGTGTATGTACATATTTACAAAAAAATCATATTTATTTATAAAATTTATTATTATTTTATAAATAAATATTGTATAAATTTATTTATTTATAAAATAAATAAATATGCCACATGTTACTAATGTTTAAGTACTTCTATCAGTTGTTTAGTACACATAGTACCTTATTACATAGTTTTTAAATTAAAACTAGATGGCACTATATGAATTGTCCTGTATTATTATTAAAAGCAAATGAAATAATGGTCGCAGGTGGATTCCCAGTTGCAGTCATTAATGGCTGAATCGAGCGTGGACTACGTGGCGAAGTTTGCGGACCTAGCGGCTGAGGTTACGGACGAGCCGTTGACTCCCGAAGATCTCACATAAATGTATTATTATTTTATAATTTAATACATACATCAGCTCGGTGTGCCACCTATGGGTCTTTTTTCGAACTATTCTAACCCGGCGAAAATAGGGGCAAGTGTAGGAGAGGAACCAAACCGAAGGACTTATGGATTGAGTGAATATCTGTGAAAATAGATTCACACGAGGACGGACGTAGGCTATCTTTTACAAAAAATGCAGACGAAGTCGCGGGTGACAGCTAGTGCGACGTAATTGCCAGTTTTACCGAAACTGATAATTCTTTATAATCGAAAGTATTATTCGGTTTTTGTACTTTATCTGAAGTTGATAACAGTAATAATATTGAAATTCATTATTGTTATTCTTATTAATTATGTAATTTTATATTGTATATGAATTAATAATGTACATCTATATATTATAAATAATAAATTATTACTATTGTAGTTTTATATAGTGATTTATTAATTTTAAGATTATACTGTATACTTATTTCACGATCTGTGATTCGAATTAAAGATAACTCTTGTTATTTTTCATTTCAATTACATCCTTTTTATGTATAATATTTGTGTAAATGAACTGCTGTACTTGGTTTGGAATTAAATAGCGCTATATTGATTTGATTATCGATCATCTAAACATATAAATCAAAATTGGAGTGTCTGTTTGTAATATTAAAATAACCATTTTTTACTACATGCATATGTATATATGAATATAAATACGATACATACACCAAAATAACATTTTTTACAATTTTTGTGTCTGTTTATTCCGGCTAATCTCTGAAATGGCTGGACCGATTTTGACATTAAAAGTTTAAAAAATACATTCTAATCTTCTAATATATAAAATTCTCGTATCATATTACTTGTAAAAAAAAGCATCATAAATAGCTTCACGGTTTCCTTTGAAATTTTGTGTGTATATTCAGTAGGTTTTAAAAATAGGACGTAAATTATTTTTACTCTTACTCCTAAGTCATAAGGTATGGATCGTTTTGAAATTTTGTGCGTAGGCATATTCAGTAGGTTTAAAGCCCAATTTACACTCAGCCCGAGTGGGCAGGGAAATGAGCAGCGCGATAGTGTAAACACCATAATTCCTATGCCATTGGCGCTGCCACTCGCGCTGCCCGGCACTCCCTCGATTGTCGGTTATTCAGTACGTGAGTCTAAGAACTGCTAGCGTGTGATTACATTCAGCCCTCTCGCTCAGTTGTCGCACGGCAATATAGCAGGCAGCGTGAGTGGCAGGGGAAGCGGCTGAATGTAAACGTAACAATTTTATGAATTTTTACCTTTTTAAGGAGACGTGGGACGTAAACTATTTTGCTAAGTGCTAAAGTTGGTCCACCCCTATTTTATTTATTAATTTTTTTTGGTCGAATTTGTTTATTTGGTTAAAATTTCAACGTTCTATCATCAACCCCTATTTCTAATAGCGATATTAGTACTTTAATAATTTTCTACAATCGGCAGTCGATAACCGATTAATTTGGCAAAACAATGTTTGCCGGGTCAGTTAATATTAATAGAATATAATTATGAGGTATATATGTAGGTATGTTATTTACCACTAGCTGTACACGAAACTTCGTCCGCGTGGTATTTAACTTTATTTTTCTAAAATAAAAGTAGCCTAAGTTACTCCTTATTACATAAGCTACCTGCCAATAAAAGCTCCGTCAAAATCGGTCCAGCCATTTCAGAGATTAGCCGCAACAAACAGACAGACAGATAGATAAACATTGTAAAAAATGTTAATTTGGTGTATGTGCCGTATTTACTCTATTAATATGCATGTAGTAAAAAACGGTTATTTCAGTATTACAAACAGACACCTGTTTGTAATATTGAAATAACAGTTTTTTTTCGCCCCAGTTATCTATATACATATAAATATATATATACATATAAATAAAATTGGTATGTTCCAATTTTATTTATATGTGTAGCTGTTCCCGCGACTTCGTCCGACTGGAATTTCTGCTTATTACATCAGCTACCTACCAATAAAAGTCCCGTCAAAATCGGTCCAACCATTTCAGAGATTAGCCGGAACAAACAGAGAGACAAACATTGTAAAAAAAAATATTTTGGTGTATGTGCCGTATTTATATTAACATGAATGGATTACTATTATGAAACACAATGAACGATTCAACGGAAGGGTCAGTGCGGTAAGTCCGTAATTGCGTGTTGATGGTAGATAATTATTAAAATTCTAACATGGTTATTAGAAATAGAGGTTGATGGTATAAGGGTGGAAGTTTAACCAAATAAAAAAGTTACAAAAACATAAAATGCGGTGAACCTACCTTACCACTTCGAAGTGTCTTCCATTTAACTTTGGAGAACCTAAGAAGAACAATGGTCATAGTAGGATAGAATAGAAGAGTATAAAAGTATCGCAAAGAATTCCAATTTTTGTTTGAAATTAATTGTCTGTATTAGTTACTAAAATTGTAGTATTTCATTGTGATTTTAAAGTGTGTGAAGTAAACTTAAGTCTACGTAGTGGTGATGCAAATACCGATACACAGTAATTAAAAGTAATGTTGTTGGATTCTGGTGATGTTTGAAGTTGTTACTTTGTTGTTTATGTAATACTCTGCGTTGAAAGTCTACGTGGTGGTGATGAAAATAATTAAAAGTAATGTTGTTGGATTCTGGTGATGTTTGAAGTTGTTACTTTGTTGTTTATGTAATACTCGGCGTTGAAAGTCTACGTAGTGGTGATGAAAATAATTAAAAGTAATGTTGTTGGATTCTGGCGATGTTTGAAGTTGTTACTTTGTTGTTTATGTAATACTCGGCGTTGAAAGTCTACGTAGTGGTGATGAAAATAATTAAAAGTAATGTTGTTGGATTCTGCTGATGTTGAAACAACAAAGTAAATACTTCCAGTATTTACTTGGTTGTTTATGTTAAAGTAGGCGTTAAAAGTCAAATGGTAGTGATGCAAATATCGATACAAAGTAATTAAAAGTAATGTTGCTGAATTCTAGTGTTGTTGGAAGTTGTTACTTTGTTGTTTATGTAATACTCTACGTTGAAAGTGTAAGTAGAAGTGATGAAAACATCTTCACAAAATAATTAAAAGTAATGTTGTTGGGTTCTGCTGATGTTGGAAGTATTTACTTTGTTGTTTATGTTAAAAAAGGCGTTAAAAATATAAATGGTAGTGACGCAAATACCGATACAAAGTAATTAAAAGTAATATTGTTGAATTCTAGTGATGTTGGAAGTTGTTTCTTTGTTGTTTATGTAATACTCTGCGTTGAAAGTGTAAGTAGAAGTGATGAATACATCAATACAAAATAAAAGTAATATTGTTGGATTCTGGTAATGTTGGAAGTTGTTACTTTGTTGTTTATGTAATACTCGGCGTTGAAAGTCTACGTAGTGGTGATGAAAATATTGATACAAAATAATTAAAAGTAATGTTGTTTGGATTCTGGTGATGTTGTAAGTTGTTACTTTGTTGTTTATGTAATACTCTGCGTTGAAAGTCTAGGTAGTGGTGATGAAAACATCGATACAAAATAATTAAAAGTAATGTTGTTGGATTCTGGTGATGTTGGAAGTTCTTTCTTTGTTGTTTAAGTAATACTCTGCGTTGAAAGTCTAGGTAGTGGTGATGAAAATATCTATACAAAATAGGTATTATTAGTAAGTGGTGAAACTTACTATACAGTTGTTATGTCACCTATCTATAGAATGTCAATATGAGAGTTCGCATTTCCCGCGTTATATATAGTTCAGTTGTGGCCTACTTATACATATATGTATAGATATATTACACTACATAAGTACATACATAAAGATACGATATGCATAAAATACTTTTAATAGCAATAATATATTTTATAATATAGCTTTCTAGTAGCGCATTGTATTGCGCTGGAGTCCCGCCGGCCGAGGCAGATTAATGTAAACAAATCAAATTTCAAATGTAAACAATACGACCGCAGCGACAAGCAAGTTAGTCGGTTTCAAAGGTTACGCGAAGCTCACGTCTTTCGATAATAAGCTCCTTGTTCTCTACATCTGCTTACGCGCCCGTGTATAAACCATATAATTCTGGACTTTTCATTTTTCCATATTGTTGGTCTCCTTCTGTTAATTGATAAATAAGTGTATTGTGCCTAAACTACAGGCGCACCCCACACAGTCATAAAAGACTACTTCAAAATGTAAAAGTGGAATAAAAAACAATTAAGTTTAAATACGGTTTTTATTTGTTAAATCTGCAAATTAATACAATAATATCGTCGGGAATAAGATACCCGACAGTTTTGGCGACGGATTTAATTCGAACCCACTGTTTGCTGAAAGAAAAAATAGTAAGAGAGGTAAAAAGAGATATGTAAAATATGTTATAGAAGACGGATCGAGTTCAGATAGTTCTGAAGAAAGTGTCAGTGAATGTGGAAAAGAAAGTGAGTAAATTCAATTTAAGAGAGTGAGATAATTGTAAGTATAACATACAAATTGGTGGCAAACTGTTGTGTGAATTCATAATAGACTCTGGTGCATCTATTAATATTGTTGATAAAAATATTTTTCATATGGTGGTAAAAAAATATCAAGTTTAGGAGTTTTTAATACTTCTCTATAAACACCAGACAGTAAATTAAAAATAAATGCAGACATCTTGGTCTTTGATGTCTGTGGGCAATCGCTGTTAGGTAGAAAGTTCAACAGAATTAGGCTTGTTAAGACTTGGCCCAGTTGAATGTAAAATATATAATGGTCAAATAAATTCTATTAAAACTGTGCCTTTAACAAAGCAATTAATTAAAAAGGTATTTCCAAAATTGTTTGATCGCATGGGAAAACTTAAGAATTTTAAATTAAATATCCCTATTGATCCAAAAGTAAAATTATTAGCACAACCGGTTAGGTGGCAACCTTTCAATACGAGAGCTGTAGAGGAGATGCTTGTTAAAGAGTTACTTGAACATGATATTATAGAAGGTGTAACTGGAACAACTTTCTGTGTGTCACCATCACACATGTGTGACAATTTTTACACGGAACTGAAACAAATATCAGATAAATGTGAATTTGGGAATCAGCAACAATCTTTACTTAGAGATGTCATGATTAAAAGTAAACGATAGATCTCTGCAAGAAAGGCTTTTAAGGAAATCTGACTTATCTTTAAAAAAAACTTTCAATATGCAGATCATTTGAAGAGAGCAAAAAAGAAATGAAGGAGATACATCCAGTAGTTGAACAAATAAAAATGCAAGTTACTCCACAGGATAATAGAATAAATTCGAAACGGATATCTTTGGATATTGAGCGTAAATTCAATTGCTTTAATTGTGGACTGCTACACAGTAAAAAT